GTCTGCGAATGGAACGAGCTCAGGTTGGACTCTGATATCCTTGTTTGTCTGCAGTCGGATCGCTGGAATAAGGAGTTCATACGAGAAGGTTTTCAGACTAAGGGACGCTTTGGCCTGGCGCTCACCACGCTGGGTGATGTCAACGGCGATGGCTATGGCGATTTTGCCGTGGGTGCACCCTACGATGGACCCGAGGGTCGTGGCGTGGTGTACATCTATCATGGCTCTGCGCTGGGTCCTCTGCTGAAGCCCTCGCAGATCATTAAGGCTGAAAGTCTGGTCGAGGCGGCTCCATATCCGCGCACCTTTGGCTTTGCGTTGTCCGGCGGAGTGGACATGGATGGCAATACGTATCCGGACTTGGCCGTTGGGGCCTATGCCTCGGATCAGGTGTTTATTTTCAAGTCGCGCCCGGTGGCCGCTGTCAATGCAGAAACGGTGTTTGCCAGTGCCTCGAAGCTGATCAGCCTGGACGACCGCACCTGCCAGCTGCAGCGCGATCACAAGATGGTTCCCTGTATGCCATTGAGCACCTGCTGGAGCTACACAGGTCGCTATCTGCCCACGCAGCTGGACTTTGAAGTCTCCTGGCTGCTGGATGCGAAGAAGACGCGCAATCCCCGCATGTTCTTCCTGCGTGACGAGGGCAAGAACATCCGCAACCAGACGATCCGACTCGCCTACGGTCAAAGATATTGCCTCAACGAGACCGTCTACCTCATGGACGGTGTCCAGGACAAGCTGACACCCCTCGAGGTAGAGGCGCGCTACAACCTGCGCAGCAGTCGCCCCATCGAATCCCGTTCCCGGACACGTCGCGCAGCCCTTGAGCCGGTCATCGATCAGAACCGCGAGATCATTCTACGCGATGCGATCAACATACAAAAGAACTGCGGACCGGACAACATCTGTGAGCCCGATCTATCACTGACCGTAACGTATGTTCACTTGGGGCTTAACGCCTTCTCCCCCTTCCCCTTCTTCGTGGTCTAATCGATTTCCTCTTCCTTTTCTTAGGGCCGTCGACAAGTATCTGTTTGTGTCCGGCGAGCCGCTGACCATTGAGGTGCTGATCAAGAACAATAACGAAGATGCCTTCGAGGCTGCATTCTACATGATGACGCCCAAGGACTTGCAGTTCACCAAGCTGCAGCAGCTGGGCGAGAAGATCGACATGCCCATCACCTGCTCAGCGCCCGATGCCAGCAACAACTACACCCTCAAATGTGACATTGGTAATCCGCTAAAGGGTGGCAATATGGTGAGTCCTACGATGCGGTAATCCTCAGCGGTCATCTCTAATCCATTGATAATCGATCAACAGACTCACTTTGCGGTCAGCTTTGTGCCGGCGGAGAAGCACACGAAGACGTCCAGCTACGATTTCTATTGGGTGGCCAATTCCACAAATGTGGAGCGCAAGAACTCCGAGTACGATAATGTGGGCAGCAAGAGCATTGGCGTCTGGGTAGAGACCGACCTGACCATCAAGGGTACCTCGCTGCCCGACTACCAGGTGTACAAGGCAGCCGACTACAAGGCACCCGGCAACGCCACCACCGAGGACGAACTGGGTCCACAGGTGGTGCACATCTATGAGCTGCGCAACAACCTCAGTTCCTACATTGAGGGCGCCGTTGTGGACATCTACTATCCCTATCAGACCGAATCTGGTGATCCACTCATGTACATCGTCAATCAGCCGGAGACGGGCGGTAAAATCCGCTGCGACAAGATCGAGGTTAACGAGCTGGGCCTCAAGCTGAACGAGAAGCAGAAGAACAAGTCCTATCTGCATGCCCAGGGCGCGATTAGCAACTCTGTGCCGGCGACGTGGGATGCTTCGGCTGGCGGCGAGGGAGCTGGCGGTCATGTGGAGATCTCGCATGGCATCCAAACCGGCAACACGGTCGGCGTCACCGTCGGCAACGACAACCAGCGCAGCCTGACACCCAAGCAGAAGGAGCTGCTGGAGCGCGAGGACGCCCAGGACGCGGCTGGAGATGCCTCCTTTGTGCATTTGGATCGTGCCAATCAAGCGGGCTCGAGCAGCAACCAGGAGGCGAACATGAACCAGAGCAGTGGCAGCTTCTCTAGTGGCGGTTTCATTCCAGCTACGCCCAGCGGCGAGCTGCTCAGCCACAGCACCCATGGCCACATTCAAATGGCACCGCCCCAGGTCACCTCCAGTTCCAGATCCAGTTATCAAATGCGACCCCAGCAGCAGCGGCAGCAGCAAGTTTATCTTGCTGGCGGCCCAGTGGACAAGTCGATGTATGGCGGACGCAACGGCGACTTCCATGCGGGCACCCTTGATCTGGGCACCTTCAACCGAGGCAACGTGGACAATGAGCTGCACAACAGCCAGGTGCAGTACGGCCAGCCGGCGGTGCAGCGGCGTGTGGTCTATAGCTCTGGTAGCAAGCCGTACTATGGCCGGGAGAACGAGGACTTCTACGACGAGGACAATCAACAGCAGAAGGCGTTTGGCCAGTGGCACAGCTCCAGCTCCAGCTCCAACTCGAACTCTGCGCCTCGTCGCTACAGGCGCGACGTGCCCACTACGATAGAGATGCGTCTGGCGAATGGCACGTCACCCTGCCTGGGTGTCCAGTGCCGTCGACTGCGCTGCTACTTGGAGAATCTGGGCTATGAGGATGCGGATGCGGCCTTTGTGGCCATACGAGCTCGTATGGTAGCCACCACCATGGAAAAGCTGGCGCCCACTGTACCGTTGAATGTATCCACGCTCGCCGTGGCGAACGTGACCAGCTTGCCCTTCATTGGCAAGCCCAAGGAGAAGATATTGAAGACGCACGAGATCTTCTACAAGGCGCAGCCAGAGCCGCAGCAGGTGCCCGATGTGGTACCGCTCTGGGTTGTTGTCTTGGCTGCATGTGCGGGTGCTCTTATCTTTCTACTGCTCGTTCTGCTGCTCTACAAGGTGAGTGCTTAGTCAATGCACCAACCAATTGTATTTCTTCTATGTTCTATGTTTCCTTTCCGTTTCATTTTTAGTGCGGCTTCTTCAAGCGCAATCGGCCCGCAGATCATTCGCAGGAGCGACAACCGTTGCGCAACGGTTACCATGGCGATGAACATCTGTAAATGCGTTGCATCCGCAGCAGCAGCTGTCGAAATTTAAATAACAGAAATACAAAAAAAAAAAAGAAAAAAAAACACGAACAGTTAACATCTCACTAAAAAAATGTACTAAAAACAAAAAACAATGCAGCAGATGCAAACAACGGTTCTAAAAACAGCAACAAAAACTCTACTAAAACATCGAACGCACTTAACCAAGTTTCAAACCGCGCGCGCGTTTTTAAAACGCGTGCCAAAGCACGACAACAGAAGCAAAAGAAAATGAAGAACTAAAAAATCATGTGCGATGTTGCGTTGATTTTTTTTTTTTTTTTTGTGAGAAGAAAAGAAAACAAGTAAAAATTGCCTAGTCACGAATTAAGAACTGTCGAAAGCGAAACGGTTTAATAATATAATTTTATTATTATTATTTTTTTTTTAATTCGACTATTTTTTCCTAGTTTGCAAATATTTGAGCGAATGAGTTACAAGTGCTATATGAATCTCTACTAAAGATAACTAAGTATATTAAGTGTATGTGTGAATGCCTGAGCGAGAGAGAGAGAATGTGTAACTGAAATAGTGTGTGTGTCTATGAGTGAGTGATAAAGAAAGAGAGAGAGAGTGCATGAGTGATTTCTGATTTTCTTTTTTTCTTCTTAGCTAATATGAAAAGAGCAGAAAAGAAAACTAAATAAATAAATGAATTTTATTTGTAAACACGAAAAAAATGCTGCCCGCAGAGAAGCTGCCACGCCCACTGGCCGTAGCATAATTATAAAAATAAACTAAAATAATAGGTGCTAATTTACTATGCTTGTTTGCTCTTTTTTTGCCACTTTTCAAAACTTTTTTTTTGCGTGCGAGTGAAGTTATTTTTGAAAATACCTACATATATACGCGATATGATTGTTTTAAATTGATTTGTCAAACTCAAAGTTTGAGAAAATTGAAATTAAAAACAAATACAACTAATTCGATAAATTTGTGTAATGTTATATATTTCCCCTTCTTTTCTGGTAAAACTCATTGTGTATATACTAAAAAAACAAAAAAGAAAACAAAAAACAGTTAAGACGTTTATTTAATTAATAATTAATTATGCATTTATTTCTATTCTACACCGCAAGAAGCAAGAAGAAGACCGACTTCTTTTGGTGTACTCTCGAAATGAACAATGGGCAGGGTATCCGCATAGCTGGTTATTCCCCACAGCCTGTCCCCCTAGCTATTCAGTTTGTTATTCTTCTAATTTTAAACACAACTCGCTATTGTTTAATTTATTAACTGTACTTATAAATGCGTGTGTTATACATATTTTTTCGCTAATATTGTATTACATTTAATTCTTTATTATAAATTTATAAATAAAAATTGCGCTCGAATTGTAAAAACAAATACAATGTTGACTTTAAATTTGGGTACAAGCTTATACTTAAAAAAAAAAAGAGAACACAAAAAAAACAAATTCAAAAATTTAATTCAGTAATGAGTAACAATATCTGTCAGCATTTGTACACTAGCATTTTTCTTACGTCATGCAGTTATCGTTTGAGAAGTTGGCTCACTTTGCGCCTACGTTTCTCTTTCTGCGCTTACGTAGTTAGCGCTGATTGTGGGGTTCGCGTATTAGCTAAGCAGCGCGCCTGCAAATTTAGACAATTTTGTTTTAAATTTATTATTATTTATTATTTTTCATTATTTTATTTTATTTTTCATTTTATTTAGTTAGACATTACATGTAAATATAGTTTATTTCAAATTAGCTTAAATTTAATACAGCATGCATCATGTTTGTTTGCAGCTAGCGCCATCAGCGCGTAACTGCATTCAAGCTACGAATTCGTCGCACGATACATAGAACGGTAATTGCGGCGTTCATTTTTGTTCTACATTTCACTTTAGTGCTCATTGAGAAAGCAACGCAGCGAGACGTGTGCTACGCAGTTGACGAGTGTTCGTAGGTGGTTCAACCAGTGTGCGCGTAAAACTGTAATTCTGTTTCTTCTTCATTCTACTTTAAATATCAACGAATATTACATTCTTGTTTTCTTTTTCGGATCTTGTGTGCGTTTTTTTTTTTTTATTGTGTACGTAGGTGTGTATAGAAAATGCATGGCTCTGTGTGAGTATCTAAGCTGAGCGCGGCTGCCAGAGCTCAATAAATTGTGCGAAATTTGAAGAGAGAGCAACAATAAATGCAAAAATAACTGTTAGCGTGTCTTTAAAGTGCGTCGTATGATAATATGTTAATTGAGTGTTGCTAAGTGTTTGCTGATTATTTTTGAAACAACAAATATAATTAACGAGAGTGAGAGCAACAACAATAACAACGAACTCGTATATCAAAGGTAAAAGCAAAATTCTTTAAGCTGAGCTTCTGGTGGTGTATATATATTTGTGTGTGTGTGTGTGTGTGTTGTGGAATGCAAGAGACAACAAAAGTACAAAAGTGGAGTACATTCATTTCAGAGTAAAGAGAGCGTACTTCCAAGCCGTAGTTAACAAGTCAAAATATGTGTCGGTGTTTGTGTGAGTTTTAGTTTATTTTATTTTATTTTACTTTTTTTGTGAGAAATGCCGGCACAACCGGTTCGGCAAGTCACCAAACCAGCGATAAGAACAAAAAAAGAGAAAGAAATAAGAAGAGCAGCGCGAGAGGCAATGTCAATGCTACGAAGATCGCCACGGCAGCAGCAAAGGCGACGGCAGCGTTGTCTCTTTTTTAATGCTTGAGATGCTGTGCTGCATTCTATACATACATATATTCCCGCAACAACAACATCATTGTATAGTTTTTATAGCTTGAGAAGCCACGCAGCATTTAGCTGGTGGTTGTTGATGCTACTACCAACCACCCACTCATACAGGACACATGTGCACGTATTTAAGAAAAAAAGAAGAGAGAAACGCAAAAATTCCCATAATTAATGCGTAACAGCGTTGACGTCGACGTCGACAGCAGCTGCGTCGTCAGCGATCAGGGATGCGCAATAACCGTTCACAGGCGACCCATGCACATGCGCGTGTGCATGTGTGTTTGTGTGTGTGTGTTTGTGTGTGTGTGCTTGTGTGTGTGTGTTTGTGTGTGTGTTTGTACATACAGATCTTTGCTCAGCTCTATCGGCGTTGACGTTTCCGCTTCTTTTAGTGTTGCTATTACTTTTACGCGTATTCACGTACCGTTAACTTTTTTCCTCTCTTTTTGTGCATGTGCAAGTGCTGCTTGTTGTTGTTAATGTAGCTGCGTTTGTTTTTGCCTTTGCATTTGCGCATTGTGGCGCTCACGCACGACTTGAACCCATCGACTCCTCCAACCCCCCACATACATAGCTCGTTAACTGCCGTTACCTTTTTTCACCCGCATCATCGCATCTTTTATACACGTTGCTAGTTCCAATATCTCTAATACCCTTCCCTTATAAACTATGGTATTAACAATTATATCACGAGATATGTAACTAAATTATAATAATTGAGTCGATTTGCAATTGATGCATATGTAAAGTATGGACGTCTTTACAATGGCAAGGGTATTTAATTTTCTTTACAACAGGCAAGGGAATTTAATTTTCGGTATTAAAAAATCAGCTGTAATTTCTTGTGTTCTTTTTGCAGTTGTTACAAAGCAGCTGCGAACAGAGTTTACGGTTATTGTGTGCAAACCTAACAATATATGTATGTATGTATGTTTGGTGCGAGCTGCGTCTGCCTTTGTGTATGTGTGTGTTAGTGATGTACATAAATATGGCAACTAACCGCACCTTTTTCCGTTAAACGTTTGAACTTCTGATTTACGCTTGAACTAACAGCAAAGTCGTCATCGCTTTCATGTTGTTTCGTATAAACGTAATATCTATATATATATATGTATATAATGTATGTAAGTTTGAGTTTGTGTATATATACATATGATTCCATGTATGGCAAAAAAAAAAAAAAAAAAGAAAAACAAATAATTAAATATATACAGTTTTGAAATTTGTTGGAAAATGAATATCCTAGCTTGCCAACAGCTGCGATTATTTTTAGCATCGTTACGCTACGTTACGTTACGTCGCATACGTTATCTGTAAGCTGTCCGTTATACGAATCGGTTCATTTTGCTCTGTAAATTTGGGAATTGTTTAACAGGCAAATCAAGGTTTGGCCGACCCATAGGGCATGTCTATTGTTGAGCAGAATCAATATTGCAGACTTCTGTCGGTATCGATATATTAAAATTGACTCAAGATTTTCAATAACAAACTTTCTACTGAGTTTGGTAAGAAGTGGTATGTACATATGTACATATAGCATATCACCTTATATATACGTTTGCAGGGTACCAGCTAGTCGTGTACTCGAGCAGCTAAGGTTTTGATTGATTATTGTTTTCTAATCTATAAAAAATAATTGGAATACTGATATTCTTTAATGTATAGAACAATTTTATTTTATTTGTTTTTATGTACCTGTTTATATTTACCTAAGTGCAAATCAGGTGCAACATATTGAGTATACACTGTACGCGTGCAAATGTTTGTCTAGGCATTGTTATATACATATATATTTTTAAAAAATATTCTGCTGCACATTGTCTTATCAGTTGTCGCTGATCAAACACATTCACATTTACCTTGTGCACAACTAAGCGTAAACAGCGCAGTCGGCGGCGCTGCTGGCGTCGCTGCTTAGCAACTACAACTAGGCTGACAAATTGTTGACACATTTATTTTCAACAACAGCAATTCAGAGCTCTGATTGTTGTTGTTGGAGTTGTGCAAGCCAGGCTGGCTGGCGGCAAGGTTACTGACGGGCAGAGCTGCCCAATACAAATGTCAAATTTGTAGTTTCTGCTTATACCCAGCACTCATTAATAACGGGTATACCAAGGCCTATGCCTATGCCGCCGCCCCATATTGAATAAGTTGATCATTCTGTCTCTGTAAGCTAGATGGACATTCTCCATCTATTCTAGATTTTCTTGACAAATAAATATTTGATTGCCATCTGAAAGTCAACACAGAGATACCCTGTAATGCTGTATATTGTCATATATGTGTATGGGTATTGTATAAGTGTGGGAATCTTTTGGTCGAATATTCGAGGGTTGGGCCTAGACTTATAAATAAATATATGAATGGCATGTGAATGTCAGCAATGAGATACCCTGCAATGCAGTACATTGCCATATATGAGTATGGGTACGGTACAAGTGTTTATTTTGGTCCCAGATTTAGTAGATGATGGAATGTCATGAGATACCCTGTACTGGTGAACATTATTATATATGTATATTAGTATGTGCATGGATACATTTATCAATGGGTATTTGTTGGTCGTGCATTCGAAGCTAGACCGCTTTTACTTGTTTTTGTTTGTTTGTTTGTTGTTGTGTCAAGTATCTTGAAACATTTTTTAATAATGGGCGACGATGTTCGGTGCGCCATTAAGCCAAATTAAATGTCAATAGCAGAACAACGTACAAGACAGCAACAACAACAAGAACAGCAACAACAACAAAGTGAAATTTTTATGGTAGAGCAGCAAATGAAATTAATATGATAATGCTACATCAGCGATGCTTAACCTTAAATACTCTAATACGATTTTCTAAAAATTTTGAAATAATAATTTTAAAATATGCTCAGATTTCAAAGATCTCTTTGGGTGTTGAATCTATTAGTCATTCAAAGTTAAATTAAAATTAAAATGAAATAAATATAAAAATTATAATTATCCGATTGATAAGATATAACTATCTGTCCGATTTTTGGTATTACAAACAAACCAATATACCCTAAATGAAGAGTATTTTATAAGTGGCTAGTTGGCTTGGCCAGGTGTTCGGCAGATTCAGTTTGACAGGTGTGCAACTTCAACAGCCAATTACAAACACCGTCAAATTGAATTTCCATGCCCAAATTGATTTACTATTTGAGTGAATGTTGTTGCATGTTAAACAGTGTAATTATTCATTTCAAATAGGTGTCCAAATTTGCAATCAATTATTTATTTATGCTCTGTGACCGCCAGCAATTTGACATAATTAATCAAATATTGTCGGCTTTCCATGGAGCTCCACTAATGCCCGCAATTTAAGGCAGGCCAAATTGAATCATGTGTGGGCTTCTATTTGTTACTATTCGAATCTAGGTTTGTGCGAGCCGAATGTGGGCGGAGTGTATCTTTTGCTGCTCAAAAAGATACTAATTATCTTACGAAGAAGATAACAGAAGATCTGTGACCTGCAACACGGCCTAACTATGCATATGCGTCTTCTATTCTATATTTATATATTATATTCATATTCACAATATCAAGAGATTGAGGCTAGAAACTTAAATACTCGTTGGTATTTTTGGTTTTATAAAGTCTTAAAATTAGTTCAATACACCCATTAAGGGTATGGTAAATCTGGAAATGCTCTATCTGGGGTAAGAAATACATATTGTTATAGTAAATATATCTGTGCCTATTAGAGCATCGCATAACTATATCTTCTGCACTTTTACTACTAGAAGTTGCGAATTTAAGATCTAAATTACTGTTGACCTTTGATATTTGGCAGTTAAATTAATGAAAACAGCCGTTTGAATGAATGAATGAAAGTAATAGTATGATTTTCCTTTTTTACTTGAAGCAAGTTTAAATTGTTCATAAAGCTTTCAATTATTATTTTTCGGAAGTTTATTTTGACTGAAAGTGTTTTATTTTGAGAAAGGGTGAGCTTATGAGCTTCTTTGAGCACTGCACTGAAACTCAGTGCAAAAGCAAATCATAATAAATATGAATATATCTCTTGATTTTTGCCTATCGTCAGCAGCTTCCACTCATTTGGTCTCTATCCTGAAAACTAGCTTTAGGGCGAATCTCGAATTGCGTCGCAAACTGCGTCACCAAAGTCATCAATGGATGGATAGGGGATGGAGCTGTCAGCACCGGCAACGCGGAAGATAATGCAAAGTGCGCAACACGTAAATGGAGTGAAACCGCTGGGGTGGGGTGGGGAGGCGGCAACGGGGCAGCAAGTGTGCGGCAAGAGCCGTTTGTTTGTTGTTGCCTTAAAGAGTGCAACGCAAAAGCAAAGCCAAGCAGGAAGCTCACTCTGACTTGGGCATAAGCCAAATTTATAATGCGAATCAAGCATTTTGGATGGGACAGTTGCGCGTTTATCAATCCAATATATGTATCTCTTTCAATTTCTCAATAAATGTGTGTGCGTGTGTGTGTTGTGGCTTGTCTTGGAGCGTCGTGTGCCCATTATTCAAAGTGCCGCAGCGGCACTTTTGCTTTGATAGACCTCGCCGCCGTCATCGGCGCGACCCATTTAAAATCATATTGCATTTGCATTATTTATTATTGTTATTATGATTAGTATTATATTTTGTTTTCCGCCATAAATTTTGCGCTATGGTCAGCTAAAGACGCAAAGTGCGAAAAAATCGTAAGCATAATGAATATATGTAAATAAACAGCTGCAAAATTGACTTTTTGAAATGCGGAAACCAAAAATATTGGAACAAATTAGAGATGCATGAAAATGAATTTCAAATGTATGTCGTATATGGCGGATATGCAAGCGATTATAGTGCCATAGACATTGATTCTATGATGATGATTTCCATTTTTTAGCTAAAAATAGTTTTCTATTATCATACTATTTATAGATATTAGTATTTATAGTAGACTTGTAGTTATCATATGAAACATATATGAAATTGAGCTTAGCTTTAGTTATAATATAGATATGAATATATATGTACATACATAATATACATTTTTAAATTGTGTCTTTCTTTTTCAACTTTTTACATCCAGAACTGCTATTTCTATAAACGATTGATTATCAATGTCTTGTTTAAGTGGTAAAATTAAAGAATATCTGTTTTGTTTAGTGCATCACTGTTCTTTTAGTGAGCTGCATGAAGCGCTGGAATACAATCATAAGCTCGATCTATATGATCTCCTTAAATATGTAATCAATCTTTAACATTTAGCTTATGCAGTTAAGCAAATGTTTGCTTAGCACTCAGTTTTTGGTTGACAAACAAATGCAAATAGCATTAAGATGATCATACGAGATGATATCATGCTGAAAGCAAACGCTTAGAAATTCACTTGCAGATGTACATATATTTATATGTATATGCAAGTGTGTGTATGTGTGCGTGCGTGAGTGTATGTGTTTATGTATGCATATTTGTTTTAGACTTTAAACTGACTACAATAACTTATCTGACTATTACTCAACCCGATTGCGTTCGTCCGCTATTGTTTGGGCCATGGCTTTTGATGATGTGGGCCCTTGGGTCTAGAGAGACGTGGAAAGAGATGGAGATAGTTGATAGCTGGTCGCGGTTTCATTTACAAAACCCTCGCAATTATTACGTATCCACCATATTCATTTTTAATTAAAACAAATTAATGATAAAACAAAAACATATGACTTGGGTTCGGAGGGAGCTCGAGGTTTATTCATTTTCATGTCGCTTGGCCGAATAGTTATCTGAGATTGTCGCGTTCGCTCTGAGATAGAGACATTCTTTATTGCTTAGTGCCAATGGGCACTGAGTAAATGAGTAAACGACTAAAACTGGTCCCGAATTAAGCAATAATCGCTGGGACGATAAGATAGCCAGCGTTTCAATGCTTTTCTTCATTTTGTCGCCTTATTTTGGGCTTTGTTTCGGACTGCTGGCCAGCTGGACGTAATCCAGCCCATGTTTCAAGTTGGCCATCGCTTATCACGATTACAGGAGCTTTGCGGACAGTGATAGGGCTGGCCATCGATATTGTTGGCCCGTCTAGATTTCCCGAGGCATTGCTGTATAGAGTTTCGATGTGTTGTATGCCCTGCAATTGGACTGAAAAGCTAAATTAGTCAGTGTTAAAAATAGATATCCTGTGTATTATTGATGTATGTATTTTTGATCAGGGAAGTTGGATTCTTATAATAAGGTAGACCCAAGCGAAACATATTTATGTATATATCAATTCATCAGACTATGTCAGAAATATGTACCCTATAGGCAGTTGGATTAGAGATGTTTGATTTCTAAGATGAGGTAGAGCCAATCAAGACTTTGCCCACATTTTATATAAGTCTTAAAGGTCTTTATTTGGAAAGCCATTTTCTTATTCCATAATAATATTATTCATTACAACAAATTATGGAATTTACTTTTTCCCAACTGTTCCCCCTCTGTTAAATAGTGGGTGGCTCGGAGATTATATGACAAGCTGGCGATAAAATTACAATTTTTAAGCTATTTTAAGCTCATCACAACTGCAGCGCATCCGCCTAAGGTGTGGCTACATTATGAACCACTCATGGGCTGGGCGGATCTTGAGAAAACGTGCGCAATCCGAGCCAGGAGGTGCGAAAACTTTCAACACTAACCTAATAAACCAGGAGTGGGCAAGATTTCTATGTCAATGGGCAATTATAATTAGCAGGGAGAGGAAGAGAGAGAGAGAAGAGAGAAAGATCATGTTGAATTTGTTCTTAATTAGCTGTCAATTGAAATTTATGTACATTACATTCGTGACTGAAATAAAGCCAAAATCCGCTATATATAGGTGGTTTTATATCTCACCAGAGAAAGAGGGAGGGAGAGAGAGAGAGAGGGAGAGTGTGTATTGCCTGAGTTGGCTCGCAAATTGGCAGCAATTGTTGTCAATTTAAAATTGAAAAGAAGTCAAATGTTGACAGGAATGCACAAGCTATATGTAACAATCTATATATGTGTATACATATCTATATAGACATATATATATCTGTTAAGCACGCATCACATAGTACTCGCTGGCACATATCTGAGCTGCCGAGTGGGCGCTATCTTCGTGCGATTTCTGACTTATCTGAGATGCTCCATATCGTCTTTTGAGTGCAAGCGAATGTTTTTTTTTCTGTTTGACTTGTATATCATGTCTCAAGGTAATCTTTTGATAATCAAGCGCTACGGCAAGCTCGTCAAGCTGATAAGATGCGAGCAAACTGACTGAGCAACTAGTCGAATATATATGACTATAAATTGCCGTATATGAACATATATAGTAGAACTATATGCCATCATATAGCCGTAAATATGCCCATCTACTTTCGAGTGTCTGCGATTTCAAATGATTTATTTCCGTTTCTATATTTTGCTTGCAGCTAGCATAAAATGCGCTTAAATTAGCGCAGATTTGGAACAACAGCCGGTAATCGTAGCAGACATCTTTAGTTGACTGAGTGCCCCAGCGACAGCATGGCCCTGAATCAGGGCAAGTACAAGCCGACAATCTGTGCCATCGACGAGGTGGACGATCGCAGCTACAAGCTCCACACGGGCCCCGACGATGAGCGCGTCGGCCACGGGAGCAAGCTGCAGATCGAGGGCAGCGAAACGGCTCCATTGACCACCAATCAGCAGAAGCTGCACAGGGATGATGCTGGCCTGACGCCCAAGGAGTTGGAGGCGGCGCGCAAGGAGGCCCTCAGCGAGGTCAGTGGCGCGGGGGGCGGAGTTACGCCCACAGCGAACACACCGAACTCGACGCACGCATCAGCGAATGGACTGAGAGGTGAGGCAGCGACACCAATAAAAGCGGTTAAGAAAATGAAGAGAAAGAGAGGGAAAAAGAAAAATGAAAGATTAATTCACTTAACTAATATAATCAAATAATCAATGTGTTTATATTTAAATGTCATTTAATAATAAGTCCTTGCAATTCGCTTATCATTAAGCATACATATCTAACCATAGATACTTTCGAATTGTTCTACGATTTAAATTGAAAATGAGAAGTCAGGGTAGAATGGTTTTATTAAATGTGTCTATCAGGCAAAAGAAGGCGTGGCAAATCCCATAAAGTATATAGTATATTCTTGATTACAGCTACGAGTTAAGTCGATTTATCCCGGGCCGTCTGTTTATCCGTCCGTATGTATGAACGTATGTATCGAACTCAGAAGATGTAAGAGATGTTTTCCTTTATACTTATTTTGTCCGAGCGTCTATCCATTCGTCCGTACGTCTGTCTGTCATGTCGATTCTGCGCTGTTAAATCTAGATGCAGGAAACGTCAAGTATATAATATCTGTGAAATCCGAAGATACAAAAATTAGAGTGAATATACAATGCCTATTGGTTATTCTAAGGCTTCCAGACAGATTTAGACTTTTACAGTGAATGAGTATTACGAAGTCGGTACCACTCCACTCTTACTATAATTTCTAAAAAAAAATGCTGCCAGGGCATTGTACTTCAGATACTTCAATGTGAAGATAACAAAAATAAACTGAATTATTTTAATTTTTAGAATTTTGAATGGAACTCGAGTACAACAATGTACAATCTTAAAGTGACATTATTTCTTGATAACACTTTAGAAGAAAGATAGGCTTTTGTTTGACTTTGTAAGAAATCTAAGCAATAAACTTTGAATGTCTCGAGGAGAACTTATTGAGGGACCATAAACCTAAATACATAGCACTACATTCATCATTGTGTTCATAATCATATTTTCTGCACATATCATCATTGCATGCTGCGGTTCATATTGCTGGATATATGTATAGCCCTGCTGCTTCCAGGACGGCGCTCCTTCGATGCACTGATGAGTCTGTCGCGCAAGCGCCGCATTCTCTACGTGGCCACCGCCTGCCTGTGCGCGCTGCTGCTCGTGATTATCATCATGCTGCTGGCGTTCTGGCCCGAGGTTCCGTTCCATTTGCGTGCCCCGCTCTGCCTGCAGCGCGAGTGCGTCGAGAGCAGCCGGCAGCTGCTGCTCTGGGCGAACACGACGAAGAGTGCCTGCCACGAGACTTACGACTGGGCGTGCGGCAACTTCGCCGACGAATACGCCAATGGGGACTACTATGTGATCAAGCGCGGCGAGTGGAACTACAAGACTTACAATGAGTATCAGGGTAAGAGCTGTGCTGCAGTCGTTCCGAGCCAATTGATATTAAACTCCTTCGTTTCATGCAGAACTCAACGAACTGAACCGCTTCATATCCATGCTGCCCAATGTCGCGGAGCGAGCCTACGCCGTGGAGTCAACCATCAGCAGTCTCTATCGCAACTGCCGCGACATCGATGCCCTGGACAAGAGTCAATCGGATCTGTTGCTCAAGCAGGCCATTAAATCTGTGGGTGAGTTGCCCAAAACGACGAGAACGTGAAATGCTCTTAGAAGGAGCCGGAGGAGACCTTTAGCTTTTGCTGGAATTGAAGTTAGAGCTGATTGATTTAGCGATATTTTAGAATCAGGGAGCAGTTTTATTAGGAAGCACAAAAAAAAAAAAAAAAAAGATTTGATTAGATTATTGCAACTAGTGTAGAAAAAAAATATTTGTTAGCTGCTGCTGTAGCTCCTCTAGTGGCTAGGCGGCAGATATGTCGAGCTCTGGCTGCCCTTGCCCAGGTTGGTGGTGGTGGTGGTGCTGCTGCCGCCGCCGGTGCTGGTGATAACGGCCTGTCCGCTGGCATGACCCAGGCTGCCAGCGCCGCTGCTGGTGCTGATGAAATTCTGGCTGCCAGCGGAGGCAAGGCCACCGGCTGAGGAGCTGACGCCGCGGCTGCCAGCGTCGAGGATGCCAACGACAGACTGGGCAGGTGCCACGCCGCCATCGGTATGCTCCGAGGTGCCTTCGATGCGATCGTACTCGGCTGTGGCGTGAGAGAGTCTGTGTGAGAGTCGGAGATTGGGAGATGCTTATCGGATTGGACTTACCCTGAATCTGTTGCTGGGCATGGGAAGCCTCGGCGTCGGTCTTGTACTTGATGAAGAAGACCTCTGGCTTGCTGGGAATGGTGGGCGCCGGTGTAGCGATGTCGTTGACCTCCAGCGTCGAGTCCTTCTTGCTGAGCACATAGATGACGGTCTTCTCCTCCTTGGGCGCGTACTCGGCCGACAGCTTGACATTGGCGCTGCTCGACGATGGCGCCTTAATGAAGATGACGCGATAGTTCTTCTGCGGACGGCCAATCACCAGGTGCTTGACGCGCTCCAGATTCTCGTGCTCCTCGGGCGCAGCGATCGTGATGAACTGTTTGTGCACAATGGGCGCCTCGAAGGCCACCTGTTGGTCCACCTGCTGCTGCTGCTGATAGCTGGGCGCCTGATAACCAGCCAATCCTCCAAAGCCAATATTGGGCGTTTGACCGAAGCCGGCAAAGTTGCTTGTGGCACTATTGCCAAAGCCGCCACTGACAAGGCCAGACGAGGAGTGTCCACCACTGCTAATGCCGCTGCCCTGGGTGTAAGTGTTGCGGCCAAAACCCGAACCGGAACCGGAACCAGAACCGGATCCAGAGCCGTATGCGGAACTGGACCCGGAGCTGGCGCTGCTCAGCAATGACCCAACGCCGGCGCCATGGAATGCTCCCAGTGGTCCATAGGTAGACACACTCTGAGTAGTGCTCGGTGCACTCAGAAAACTGGAGCCGTGTCCTCCACCGCCCGTCGTGGTCAGAGTTCCAGAGACGCCGCTGCCATAGTTGTAGCCCTGAGGCTTGGCTTGAGCCAGGGCGCAGAGCGTGCACAGTGTCTGCAAAGCGAGCGTGTGAGAGAGGGAGAGAGAAAGATGGAGTTAGCGTCAGTGTGAGTGTGAGAGAGACGGGTGTGTGTGTATGTAATCCTTGGGTGTTATCCATTAAGCCTTACCACAAGTAGACGCATGCTGGATTCAGATTTGGTTAGGCTTCAGAAGCTTCAGTTGATTAACTGATGCCGCTCCTCGCCGCCGTTTGGGCTTTTATAGTCGCACATTTGGGCCCCGAAGCGATTCCCTAATCAATATACTCAATATTCAATATGAATTCATATTTCTTCTGCTGTTTCTATTGCTATTGTTGTTGCTTCTTGTTTCTTCTTCTATATGATGGTAGCTAATTAATTGCTCAATTATTTGGCTATGCGAACATACCTCTGACATTTGATTTGACGCTCTCTTGCTCGCTCTCTAGCGCGACGCTGTTCTCCTCTTGCTTCCTTTAATGTGACCTGTTGTCTGATAGCTGTTGTTGTCGTTGTTGTTGCTACTAATCTTGGCGGCATTAATCAATGCTTCAAGTGATCAGTTTGCAACTCTTCAGCGACTATTGACAACGCATCACCATAAGCTTAAGCAAACACATTGATAAATAATCGGAAAAAAAGAATCACTTGTTAATTTCCGTTGCATTTTTGTCTTTGCAGCCAACCGCGAATTCCTTGAGATCACGAAATGATCGATTGGTGAATTAATTTATGCGTCGAGCTCGAGCTCATCTGGTGACGTCTACTCACAGCTAATGACTGAAAGCGCATCAATTTTATCATTATATTCTCATGTGGGGGTTAAATTAATTAAGCCAAGCCAGATCAATGTCTGATTATTTTCAATGAAATTTGATTCCATTTAGTACAGTTTAGTCTGAAATGAAACTGGGTGGAGTAAATCATACTAATTGCAATTCAAATGGGATCAGATGAGCATATCGTAGAGTCGATTCTTACAGGGTATCTGATAATCGTGCACACTCACGGCTGGGCGTCCTTTGATTCTCTTCTGATAATGTTATTAATGAACGCAATTTGTCTGCTGTCCATGTTCGAAATGTTCAATACAACAAGTTTTCTGGTTGCTATACAACTTTTTTTTCCATCTAAACAAACTCATTGGGATTTTTCTTAGAGACTACAAAGAGACCAAGCTTCCGCAATGGGATATTTGTTTGACGTACTAAGTATTTAATTATGTGCTAGCCCCCAAGCGAGAGCTCGAAATTCGTAGAAATTCGTTGGCTAAAGCATAATTACGTAGATTCTAGACTGCCTGAATGGGCCAAAGTTTGATGTTTTTTGAATTATGTATATTGAATGATCTGTCTAAATGTGTACAAGATTCAGAATGAAAAGTCTAAAAATAAAGACGCCCCTCTTTAGAGTATTCAATTAATATGTCTAGACAGGGATTTGAAGCAAAGCTGAGAACTTTTGAAGTACATATATAGTATTTGTAATTAAGGCATGAACTTGAAGATATTCATGATGCTGACTTGCTAATTTAAGCATTTTTATAGTAGTGTATTAAGTATACAGGAAATCTACACACCTTAATATGTCTCTGCTTTAATGGGTCTTTCAATTTCCACATATTGATATTTATCGATAACAAAGTTATCGATGGAAACTAAACTTGATAAAATTGAACTACCTACAGCATACTCTTTGTAGATTACGAGTTATATGCTTAAATCGGAGCATATAACTAACTACCTTATAAATACAGATACATAAAATAGTTGCGAGATAATTATAATTATTAAGAACAAGTCTTTAGCTCTTATATTGTCTGAAATCGACGCGTTCAAACATATGGACAGACGGGCAGACAGATAGACGGGCAGGGTTAAATCGACTCAGCTCGTCACCTGGATCAAGAATATATATACTTTGTGGGGTCTGCCACGCCTCCTTCTGCCTGTTACATACATTTTATCAAAACCATTATACTCTGATATCCCATTTTCAATGGGTTCAGGGTATAAAAATGCAACAAGTGGGGTCTGAGTACTACCGAGAGAATTCAATAAAAGCGAAACATGTCAGAACATAAAAAGTGCAGAATTGAATTCAGAAGAAGAAATACGAGGGCATTTAATTGAAATTTTGGGTACTCATACAAGGATAAGCTTCCCAAAATAGAAGGAATATGTCAGAAACTTGCAGAATTTAATCAACGATATCCAAGACGACCTACTTTTACTAAAAGAGTTATATATCTTCATTGGGAGAAGAACCTTACAGGTCATTAGCGACAGTTTTGCAAATATAACAAACTATAGTTTATATTTTAATTTAGAATTTTAGTTTAATTTAAATTATATGTTTGGTTTGAGTAAAAAAAAAATTTTTGCTAAACAAATTTTTCGTTTTGAAATTCACGGAACAGCAAAGATCGTTTTACCGCCCCCAAATCATTGCGCCCGGGCCGCATTTTTTTTGGCACTATTTTGCATGCAATTTAGGTGCAACGTTTGTGAGTTCGGGTGACGAACATTTTGCTTAACGACTGAGATGCTGGAACGTATTGTGTTTGTCCACTGTAGTTCAGTTCAGGCAAGTTCAAGTAGTGTACCAAACAAAAACCAGTAGATAATAATGCAAAGAGGAGAATTTAGAATTATTGCAGATTTAAAATATGATAATTCTAGCAATCGTTTCAATATATATTTTGTTGAAATTTTGTTTGGACCGTAGTAACAGTATTTTGAAAAATACAAAAAATTAATTAGGCTGAAATGAGCGTAAATGGTGCAGCTGAGCAAATGCCAGATCTTTCTGGCCCGATCGACCCGGTTTAATGTATTTCAATGAAGACGCCACACTGGTCAGGCTTGTCTGGGCTGTTGGCAAATAGGCCGGTCTATGGCTATGTTTGTTAACTGAAGCATTTCCATTTTCATTTGATAAGACTAGTGGCTGGTGGTTAGTGGTTGGTGGCTGGTGGCGGTATGCAACGAAAAGATGGCTCGATTATATTGTGTCATTTGTATACTTGAGTTGCGACTAAAAGCAGAAATTCCAAACGTCGTCGTCGTCGTTGTCATCTTATTATTTTTGTTTTTTTGTATTTATTTATTTATATATTTATTATTGAAAAATTTCATTATAATTGGCATAATTTGAATGCGCTTTGGGGCGAGCTTTGTCGGTTTGTCGGCTCGCGCGGCCGATCTGGCAGTTACTTAAGACCACATTTTATATGGCTAAAATGTTATGATTTATGCGCGGTAGCCACCTTGAAATAAGCCGATTGAATTCAGCAGCCGCAGCCCACAAAAAAAAAAAAAAATAGTTATTAGCTAGACGGTAGTATTTTCAGATGTTCGAATCTATATCAATTAAGTCCATAGTACGGCATTTGTCACTGCACTGTGTGTGCGTGTGTGTGTATCGGTGTGAGTGTGCTCCAGCCCAAAACGAATGACTTAGAACACAAACTTTTTACGTCAAGCCAATTAACGCATTGGCCTTGGAATATGGATTGCATAACTTTTCCTCTATTGTTTCTTCTTTTGTATATATGTATACACTTTTTATGTTGTTTTTTTTTTCTCTTTTTTGATTTTGTTTTAAGTTTCTTATGCATATTTGAAGATTAATAGCTGCCGTCTTGTGCGGTTCGGTTCGGCTGCCAATCACAAAAAGGTCGTCTAGTTGATGTCCAGATATGGCCGCCGCTTCCACAATCCCATTAATTAAATGCAAATGCAAATAAATCTACACGAGCTGCTTTGCGAATCAGCCACCAAAATAAAGAAGATGCATTGATGTCTCTTTTTTTTCTATCTTTTCTTCTTTTTTTCTGAATTTAACTATTTGCAAAATTTATGTAAATCAAACTGAAATTCGTGGTTTGGCGATCCTCGACGAACCGCGAATGCCCTCTATCAACATCTTCATGATAATTAATGTAAATAGGAGCAGAGGCAGGGGCAGCAGAGAGAAATGAACTACGAAAACATACATAGTCGTATATCTGCCACCAGCCACACACACGCACACACACATACAGACGTCTTAGTCTTCCTTTAAATAAATAAATACAAATAAATAAAAAAATATTTAATAGTTTATTTAGTTTTTATAGTTTTAATATGATATTTATACAATATTCAAAATTACACTGTCAACAATTTAATAAGCTTAAAATACAAATTAGTTTTTTGTTCAGAAATATCTGTACATTTCTTGTTCTTCCTGTTGTCCATATGCTTCGCATTGCCCAAAGCCGCCTCGTTTGGCACAGGGTCATAGCACTTTGGCAAAAAGGAAAGAAAAACACAAGAAAAAAACACTTTTTTTTATATATAAAATTTAAAATAAAAACAAAAAAAAAAAAAAAAAAAAAAAAAAAAAAATACACATAAACTATAAAAGTTTGCAAAAAGTATGCGAAATCTACAAAAATAAAACACTTTGCGGCTGTTGAGTTGAACATTTTAATTTACGCGTTCGCGATTTTTTTATGACGTCTTGTGGTTGTTGTTATTGGATTAGTGGGGATTTTATTTGTATCGGCATTGTCTATATATTTAACGCTTATCACTTTTATGCAAATGCTGCTACCCGGCAATGTTAATAAGACACTTAGTGGTGCGCATGGGACGATCGTTAAATTGACACCACCCAATCGCCTGCAGCACCACACTCACATGCATACACACACGCACACTCACACTCATATGCACACGCTTATGCGCTTTAATGAAAACTCTTTGTCGGTCGCTGATAATCGTAGCCCAACTGAGCCCCTTTGGCTGCATCTGTTGGGGACTTTGGGGGCTCCAGGGCGCCAATCACAGACTGCACTGGCGCCACGTAGGGCGCCGCATGCTCCGAGTTGCCGCCCAGCACGTCGTACTGCGTCTGGATCTCACGCTGGGCAGCGGCGGCCTCCTCGTTGGTCTTGTATCTGATGAAGAAGACGTCGGGCTTGGTCAGGGACTGCTGCTGCGGTTTTGGTGGCTCTATATCTTGGGCCTCCAGCTCCGGCTGCTTGCGGCTCAGCACATAGATGACCGTGCGCTCCTCCTGGGGCGCCAGCTCGGCCGTGTACCTGAGAGCCTCGTTCTGGGTATTGGGCGCGCGGATGAAGATGACGCGATAGTTGCGCGTGGCACGTCCGATCAGCAGGTGCTTGGTGCGTGGCTGCAGCTCCTCCGGGTCCTCAGCTGCCACAATGCTGTAGAACTGCTTGGTAATTAGCGGCGCTGACGTCGTAGGACTCTCCCCAGCCACCGGTGGCAAATAGGAGCGCGTCGGCAGAGCCTGGCAGTGGCCAAAGAGCTCCAACGAAACGAGAAAGATGACAAAGCCCAACATGTTGCTAGTGGATGATGCCTCGAAATGTGTGTGGCAGTGGGTGGCCACACGCCGTATATATATTGGGCAGAATCTTGAAGTGTTTTTTGCACACAATTCGGGGCCCAATTAGCCAAAGACTTTGGCAACGAACTTGTTGCAAATTAGTGAAAACAAAGGAGCCGTTAAAAGCGAAATTGTTACAACATTTGGCTTGGCTGCCAAGATCTAGAGATTATTTTCGTAATATTTGCACATTTGTATTTGAGTTGCGATTGGCATAGAATACATATATTTCCGCTGCATTTTGTAATACACATATACACATTTTTACATTTCATAAATATACATATGTATATGTATATATGTATATATGTATATATGTATATATGTATATGTATGTCTTTATCATAAATTTCAGAGATCATAGTTTTGGCTCATTTATCTTTTATCGCTGCGCGCATAAACATCTTGTTTGGCCATTGTCCACAGTTTATGCGGCATCATTCAACGCCCCCACATTGCTTCTTCTTCTTCTTCTGTTGCTTCTCCATTTTTTGACTAATGGGCAGCTGGTGTGATCTAATCTGCGCTTCACAGCCTTTGCATTTGTTCAACATTTCAAAGTTTTCTTTTTATTTTTTATTTTTTATTTCTTGTGCGTTTCGCAGCCTCACAGCTGATTAGTAGATTAATTCATTTTGGTTTCGGTCGCGTTGTTGTCAACAAGTCGAGACAATTAAAATATCAACAGCGATATATTTCTCTTATTTGTTATATTTGTGTGAGAATACGACGAGCTGGCTGGCTTGACATCAATTTTGATTTCGGCTTCGATTCAGGCCTCGATGCGCATCGATTTGCATAAATTGACGCGTAATTCCCACACTTTCATGTCGCATTTGGCAAAATGGTACAGCTAATTTGATTTATGACTTGATTTATTAAGAAAAATTGCCTCTGCCCAAAGCCAAAGCCGCTAGAAATCAGAAATCACTGATAAAGATGTAAATGATCTTGTACGAAGGTTGCTCAAGGGCTGCTCGCTTGCCGCCTTCGACCTAATGAAACGATACAGATTTGGGCTCGCCATAAATGAGAGTATCTCAAGATTTGAATAATCAATAATAATAAGTCATTCAAATTTCAGAAACAAGATGCAGAGACTGAACATTTGACATGCCGAATGGAAATTGAAGAGACTTTTCTGTTAACTGAAAATATATATTATATAAGTATTAGAGCACGAGTTATTTAAATGTAAAAATATATAAATCGCAATACTCTTTGATGGTATGAAATTTTGGATCGATCACTCAGTGATTTCGTTTGATGACAGCAGATGATCTGAATTTTTTTTTTTGCAACCAACTTTCAGTTTAATCGCTTTACCGTTACTTATTTAAATAACTGATATAGTAAGGCATGTTTGTAAAAACTTTGTTGGGGTTTACGAAATAGTCTTGCTTTGGTGGATGGAAGGTCGAAAGCAGCATATGAGCCAAATATTTTAGTGTTTTACTATCGAAAGTGTTTATACACTCAAGTAAGGCGAAAATGATGTGATGTTTTATGTAGGAGCTCTGGTAACTCAACGCCAATGTCAAAATTGATTTGCAAAATTTGCAAAGTTCCAGCAATTTCGATCTTCAGACTGGAAGGCCTCTTGAGGATGAAGGACCCAATAGATTACTAACTAGGCAATGGCTAAATGGGCTCAATCGATGGCTAAGGAAAGTGCGAGTAGCTCAGAAGGGACAGCTGAAACCCTGGTGCAGGTAATGCTCTGGTGGAAGTCTGTCCATAATGGAATATCGGTTCAAGGCCACTATTAGCGATTGGATAGAGCAGCTGTCCAGTAAAAATTCTGCAACTCTACGGAAAGACATCCCTAATGGAGTACTTAGGATCTTAACTCTAGCTTAATATCTATTATTATTATAATATACATACTTATATGACAATCAATACTGCAGATTGTCAATCCCGAGTCCTACCTTGCATTATTGTTTGTGACGAGACATTGTTTAGTTATGATACATCAATTGTATTGGATGGACTCGACGCTTATTAAAAACAAAAAAATATATATAATAAATTAAAATGCAAATTCGAGAGTTGATTTAACTGCATGTCAACTGCTGACAGCAGCTACTATGCGCGATCTGACCTACATATGGATTGTGATGTCAACATTTATGTAGCCATTGATCTATCTCCATTCATATCAGACAATAACAAAATATCATTAGTCTGGCTACAATCGCTAATGTTACGATCATCGTTTAATGTGGTTCAGCTGATTTGAGCCAAGATTTGTATTCATGCTGCACTCAATTAGGCCACATTCAGCGGTTAATGGAGCTCTTAATCTATCCATCTGATAAGAAAATAATGTTCCAATGTATTTTCTCTCCTTCCATTTTTCCTCTTCATCTCTCCCTCTCTCTCTCTGGTTGAGCTCATGCATATTTATGCATTTGGCCTGCGTCGCAGCATTAAGATCGACGTCATATTTTGTCATGGGGCGTCAGTTTAACGATCGCTCGAAGTAAAAGATGCGCTGTTTGATTCAATTATAATTAACTTTGATGTGCTTATTTTGATTTCTCACTTCATTTAAGCTAATATTGAGGTATTTTGGGCGCCGGGCCGCTTTGTTGGCTGTCGAATTGTTTTTTGGACGTTGAATTGTTGATTTGCATTTGAGCATTTTGCTTTTTGGCCGCTTCGGACCTTTATTAGCCGCTTGGCATGATTTGAGCAACATTTCAATTTATTTATGGCATTTTTATTAATTTTTTAAATGGCATTTTATAGCGCGGAAACTACGCGACCTTACCCCAAAGAAGTGTCTCTTGAAAAAACGTTGCGTACTTCTTTATATATACAATTTATTTATTTATTTTTTAAAACAATAACAAAAACAAAAAACAAAAAAAAAATATATGTGGTCGAGGGAAACAATGTGCTTAAAACTAAACAACACATAACAAGCTATTAGAAGGACTGAAGTTTGTGTGCGTGCGTGGGCGGGGATTGGGTTTGGGGATAGAGGGCGTGGCGTGGTGGTGCGGAGTGCGGGGGCTTATCGCTTCAGGGCACTGGGCAGATACTGGGAAGTGGGATTAGTGCTGGGGCGATTGATCTGGCGGTAGTTGTAGCTGCCATCGGGATTGAGGCTGTCGAGGCTGCCGATGACGGAGGTGATCGGGGCGTTGTTGTCCTCCTGGAACTCGTTGGTACCGCCCAGCTTGTCGTACTGTCCCTGGATCTCCTTCTGGGCTTGGTTGGCCTCGTCGTCGGTCTTGTACTTGATGAAGAACACCTCCGGCTTGCTGGGCTGCGTCGGCGCAGGTGTCGCAATATCGTTGGCATCCAAGTCGTTGCCCTTCTTGCTCAGCACATAGATGACGGTCTTCTCCTCCTGCGGCGCGAACTCGGCCGAGTACTTAACGTTGGCATTGTCGCCAGCTGGCGCCTTGATGAACACCACGCGATAGTTCTTCTGCGGCCTGCCGAGCACCAGATGCTTCACCTTGTTCTCGTTGCCGCGCTCCTCGGGCGCCGACACCAGATAGAACTTCTTGTTGATGATGGGCGCCGGCGTGGTGCTAGCTGGCGGCAGGTACTTGTCGCCGCCTCGATGTACCTGCTGCAGCTGGCCCACCGGGCTAGGCAGCACCAGTTGTCCCCCGGGGTTCGGGAGGCCCGACAGGCCAATGCCGCCCACAAAGAGATCGCTAGTCTGCGGCTGCTCGTAGCCGTACTGAGGACGTGCCTCGGCCAGGGCCAGCAGAGCGGCGACGCAGCCGAACACTAGCTGAGCTGATGTGGAACGCATTTTCGAATTGGGTTTGTTTTGGTGAGTTTCTGTGAGTTATCCTTGTGGTAATCCTTGAATGCTTGCTAGCTTGGTTGTCGCTATCGCGTCGCGTTCGTTTGAGCACGTTTTGCTTTGGATTGCTTGAGGGCAATGGTTGCATTTCTGGTCGCTCCACTTGGCTTATATGCGCTGCTTTCCAGATCGGCTGTGGCCGCTGGCTGCGCTGTCGGCGCCATCAGTTACCAGCTTGTTGTTGTAATTTATGTAAATCAGCATCATCAGCATCATCAGCAACATCAGCAACATCAGCATCAGTAAAAGCATCAGCAGGGGCAGCGGCAGTCGAGCTGCTTGGCGACTGCTCAGCTTGGCACATGGCAATAACAATTTGGACATGTCCACAGAGTTGGCTCGCTTTCAAGATAGGCTCGAGCAGCGAATGCTACCAAAAATTTATTCAAATCTCTCAACTGCATGTTGAGTCAGCCACAGGCAGTGGGGCGTGGCTGATTCTGATATGCGCTGCGTAGCCATGGTTCACATTTTGAATAGAGCTCATATATCTCGTATAACAATAGCCACTCGTCTCGTCTCGAATAACATATATAAGCATATATATATATACATATATGTGTATATATGTAGCATCTAGCATATGTATCTGTTTCTATCTCTATATAATTTTGGCAGCTTAGGCATTGAACTTGACTGCGCGCTGCGCTGGCCTCACAGCTGAGTAGATTATTAATAGACCCATGGATATACAGAAAGTTTAGTTTTTTTGCCAGTTTCTGTAGGCTTTGCTGGCCGCCGTTTGCATCTAATTAAACGGCACCTGAACGGCATTAGTCTTTGACTCTAGGCCTCCAAAGCAATCGGCAAAAAAAATTAAAATAAAATGTGTTTAGCGAAACTAGTTTGCTGGGTTTTTCTTTGGCCCAGAGCAATGCTGACCTGCCCATCACATTGCTGATCGATTAACTTGCAAATGTGAAACACTTAAAAGATGGTTTCATACATCTCAATATGAATGGCGACGGACCATCTGATTGAATACGATCAATATGCGAACCAAATGGGCATCAAATATGTCACAAAGCTGCTACGCAATGTGTCTCGATCTGTGCATATATAATATATAGAATGTATCTTACATATTTATATTATATAACATAACATATAACTAGACAAGTCATAAAAAAGTAGATCAAGCCTTGATATCTCTGAATCTAGTAGATTTTGAGTCTGATTGAAATGTTTACAGTACGATAAATTCATTTGAGTAGGGAGAGTCCCTCCGTATAGTACCTGACATAAATACTCTCTCTCTCTCTGTCACCCGCTCTTTCTCTCTCTCTGTGTATCCATATCTATATCATATATTATACATGTATATAAATATAAATTTCCTGAGCTGTTTCTGAGAAAGGGAACATTTTATATATCTGTATCTTACACAGTGCCAGATAAATCACATTAATGTCATGGGCCCGTGCTTAAAATAGAGATCAATATCCTAGCGATATAAATGAACTATTTATTATAAGAATCATATACTGATATCCTTGATTTTATTGCCAATTAAGAATACATAGTTTATATTAATTATGGTGAAGGCCGTCCCGTGACGGAGGCCCTGGAGCATTGTTCCCTCTGGGCCCTATGACAATGAAGACCTAATCTGCAGTGGTTTTTACATTTCCTTCTATGTTTGTATATATAAAAGTATTCCATGTCCTTTTTTTTTTTTTTGCATCTAATTCGCTACCTCTAAGTTTTTCTATCTGCATTTGTATCTGGATTGTTACCTAAATTTACATCGGCAACTTTTCTATCTATCGGTATTTATATCTCTATCTCTGTCTCTAGCAATATATCTATTCTGTATCTAACTGTATTTGTATCTTATTCACTATTTGTATCTTCATGCGTATATCGTTCTGTAACTCTATCTCTATCTCTATCTGTATCTGTATATTTTCATCTGCATATTTCTCAATTTGATTCTTAGGTATATCTATATTTGTATTTCCTTCTTGAGCTCCATCTGCATTTGTATCTTTTTATCGTACGCTTCATCTGCATTTTCTTCTGTATCTTCATCGGTAGCTCTTCTTTAGTTCTTATCTGTTTCCGTATCTTCTCAGTTTTCACCTATATGCCTCTCTATATCTGTATCTTGTTTCCAATTTGTATTTTCATCTGTATCTCTCTGTATCTGTACCTTTTTCCCGATTTGGATCTTTAGGCCTATCTGTATCTACATATTATATTTTTATACCCTGAACCCATTTTCAATAGGAAATCAGGGTATAATGGGTTTGTTGAAATGTATGTAACAGGCAGAAGGAGGCGTGGCAGACCCCACAAAGTATATATATTCTTGATCAGGGTGACGAGCTGAGTCGATTTGGCCCTGTCCGTCTGTCTGTCCGTCCGTCTGTCCGTATGTATGAACGCGTCGATTTCAGAAGATATAAGAGCTAGAGACTTCAACTTTTGTTTAAATGTCCGTATTTATCATTAAAAATCGATAACTCATCCCGATCTTTTTGTATCGATAAAAAACCTTATCGAAAACCAGTTATAAAATTATATCTTCTACACCTTTCGAGCTAGAGCTTCCAAATTTTAAATATAGACTTATATGTATTTTATATAATTTCGATTTTTGTTGTAATTTACCCCCCATCCTTATATCCACCCCATCACCATCACCTTTGTAGGCGTATTTCAAGTACTAGAGACTTGTGCTTTGGAATGTACATACATTTGAACATTATGATTACGCTCTGAAAGTTTCATTAAGATCGTATGTCTACAAAAGAAATTATTCAACAAATAAATTCTCATAATATAGCCCACACTGCAGCGCAGTCCAAGCGCAGTCGCTGCTTACTGCGCAGTTAGCAGAGTGCCCTCTAATACGTGCGTGTGTATGTATGTGTGCCGAAAAGAAGTGCAGAGTGATTAGAATATCAGATTAGAGGGTTCAGGGTATCTCCTAGTCGAGCAGTCTCGACTAGAGTCTTCTTACTTGTTCGTATTTGTATTCTTCATCTGTATATATATACATATGTATATCTTTATCTTTCTACACTATACATTCTATATATATTATCTATCGACTTCGGCTTGACCTCCAGCTAAATATTATGGCAAATTGAATAATCGAAATGCGTTTATAATTGACTATATAAAGCGTTGTTTGTCATGGATTTTCCATAGCTCTGATCGGATGCTGGCCAAATGTCCAATTATGTTATTCTTCAGCTGTTAGTGTTGGCGATTGCCGTAGATGGTGGCCTCCTAAACCAATCAACAGTCAACAGTTAACAATAGGCCGATGAGTCAGTCAGGCGACTGGCGGGTGTTGAAATCTATAGAAGGAAAAGAAGCAGATCAGAGGCTGACGCAGAAGCAGAAGCTGCTGCGACACATTCACCTCTGGCTCCGTGGAGGTCGCTAGAAGAGCTCATCATATTGCATAATTTGTCGCAAAGCTGAGCTCGATCAGCTGATGGAGTGCTTGATGATTGATGAGCATTGATTGATGGTCGAGCATAAACTTGAGAGTGCGACAGATATCTAGCGGCTGATCCACTAATTTAGTTATAAACAGCTCGCGCTCAGATGGCTCAAAAGCGAACAAAACGATAATTATCAATTAGGCATTCCATATCCATAATTTCATATCTTCTTTTATATGTATATGTGTTTATTTTTTGGATGTCGCCGAAGCCGTAGCCGAACCAAAAGATCCGAAAGACGTCAAAGCCTCTGCGAAATAATTTATGTAACTTTTTATAAACGCTGACAGTAAAAACCGAGGGACAAATGTTCGAGCGCAGACTGCGCTGGCCACAGATCGTATCGCTTTATTTAGTAGGTGTGATTATCTTTATGCAAAGATCGAGACGCATTAATATGCAGATGCGCTCACATAGGGGAGATATAGATGGATGCTGATACCGAATACCAGGTAGCATCTGCCAGCGATGTAATCCATATATTTGATCATAAATTTGTTAGCGCGCTGTGTGTGTGAGTGTGTGTCTTGTCTGTATGTATGTATAGATATATCCATATATGTATATAGAGTTTGTAATACTTTCTGGTATTTTAATGCGTTGCATTTGTGAGGTGACCTTGCAGCGCGTTTGCTCTACGTTTCCCTTTGTGATACAGCTTTGTTTTTCCTCCTCTTCCTCTTCTTCTTCTTATTATTATTTATTTATTTATTTATATTTTGTTTTTTATATAAATACGCTAATTTATTTGCCATCGGCTTTTGGTTGGTGGTCGCTCCATCTCCGGCAGGGGCTAGGGGCCCCGTTGGTTTTCTATAGTTTTCGATGCAGTTTCAACAATTATGAAGAGCTTGCCAAATAGCTGAGACCAGATCGAGCAGGTGAGGCAGGCCGTCAGGTGTCTTGTGTGTCACCTGCTTCTGTAATTTGTTAATTATATTAAGTTTCTAAAATTAATGCTGATGCCCGGATTTTAGATTGGGAACCTCCCAACTGTATGTTCTTCATTTTCATTCAAACCAATTCCAATAAAAAACTTTACCAGTCTTTGCATTTTTTTTGAATGCTTAAAGAAATCCTTAAATTTTATTAAAAAAAAAAATGGAGAAAAAAAAAATAGTTTTTCATTTGTTTTGCATCAGTCGCAAAGGTATCTAAAATGAATATCGCAAGAGTTAAGCTTAGCATATTCTAGCCAAATAATCGCCATGGATTATTCAATCAGAATCAAGAGTCGGGCGCGTGTTGAGTCCAGGCAGCGTCCATCGAGGAGCTGCCCGCGGATTGATTGGGCATGTTTGGTTGGGATAGTTGGGATGCAGATGGCACGTCTAGTACTTGACGGATCTGATGGGCTTGGCGGGCAGATATGAGGTCTGGATGATGCTGGTGCCTACATTCGATGAGCCGGTTGCCACTTGGTTGCCATTGGCGCCAGCGTTGATACCGATCTGCAGGTTATCGTTGGAGGGGCCTACGCCGACACCGACACCGCTAATGGGTACGCCACCAGTGCCAACGATGTTGACGCCGCCGCTGCCGTCACTGATCACGCCGGAAGAGCCATTGTCGCCCAGGGCGTTGATGACGGAGGAGGTGGGCACAATGCCTTCATCGCTGAGGCTGGAGCTGCCGCCCAAGGCATCGTAGTTGGCTGAAGTGCAAGTAGAAGATGGATTTATTAGTGTAACCCGCGTTGCCCACAGCCTAGACTGCACTTACCCTGGATGGTCTGCTGGGCATGCGCTGCCTCCGCCGGAGTCTTGTACTTGATGAAGTAAACCTCGGGCTTGTTGGTGACGGGACGCTGTGTGACCACCTCGGCGCTGACATCGAGCGCGTTCGATTTCTTGGACAGCACGTAGATGGCGGTCTTCTCCTCGACTGGGGCCACGTTGGCAATGATCTTGGCCTTGCTGGTGGTGGATGCGGGCGCATTGATGAAGACAACGCGGTAGTTCTTCTGCGGCTTGCCCACGTTCACATAGCGGACGATCTGCTGCTCATCGTGGTCCTCGGGCGCGGTGTGCAGGTAGAAGTGTTTGCTGATGATGGGCGGCTGGAAGTTGGCCAAGTGGCTGATGTACGCCTCCTGCTCCTTGTAGTTGATGACGGGTCCTGGCCGGATGCCAGTCAGACCGATGTGATCGTTGACCACGCCGGTGTAGATGCCGTTGCCATTGGCACTGCCAGTGCTGATGCCGTTGGAGTAGCCGTTGCTGTTGGAGTAGCCGTTGCTGTTGGTGTACTGAATGCCGCCCACTTGAGCGGAGGGCACGAAGCCGGAGTTGACCCCACCCGTCACCAGCTGACCCACAGAGGGTATGTTGTTGTAGTAGGTGGTGCCCGATGCAGTCGGCTGGTACGAAGTGGATGTCGTCACCACAGGGCCGGACACTAGGTTGTCGTTCTGGCCAATGTCGTAGCGGTAGGCCTGACGACTGAGATCAGGACGCGCTGCTGCCCAGCGACTGCAGCCGAGCACTGCAAGGCAGGCCAAAAACTGCAAATGGATTGCGGATCGTTGGATTACTTGCGTCTACTTGGGCCTATCCAGTTTATCTGCCATCGACTTACCAGAAATTTGTTCATGCTGTTGCACAATGTGGACGCGGTCGGATTTGAATGAAGCTGAGCGCTGGAGGAGCTGCGGTGAATTGATGCCCTGTCTGGAGACAGCGCTCAGTTTATATAGAGAGTGTCGCTGCTGGCCTTTAATTGAAGTTAATTAATTTGCTCGCATTGATTTGCAATAAATTGTTAAAATGAAATATAACTATAACACCACACAAATCCGGATAGCACGGACCTAGAGAATGAGGCTTTGGGCTTTTATTTCACTCGTTTCGCCTCGCAGGCGCTAATTAATGCTGCAAACACAGCTGACACAATCGCTCCCAAATAGTTGATCCAATGTCGCCATCAGCTGGCTGATGCCACTTGACGCTGTCCACTGATTCAATCGGATCGATCAGGCGGATTCCCACTCTGTCTCTGTCTCTGTCTCTGTCTCTATCTTTCCCGGAGTCAATGAAATTGATGACTTCGGACTTCTGATAAGAGTTGAATGGAAAAATACTAAATACAAAGTCGATAAAGCATTCATGCTATAGATAATATACATTTTAGATAAAAAAGTTCTTTGGGTTATAACAATAGAACCAACATAATTTTGTATTAGATTTTAACGACGCTCAAGAGGCCGTCGTTATAACCGGAAAACGCTATAACTATATACATAGGTTTACTCATCTATGTTTGATTTCTTTTGACATATTGTAATTAATTTATATTATTTTATGCCGACTTTTTGAACAGAAAACTCAAGTCTGAACGGCCGAAAATAAAATGTATTTGATCTACAGGGTATCTGACTACAAAAGTATTTATATTGATTACCCATTTAACTTACAGTTACAACATACAAACTCGATTAGAGAAACTAATAAATATAAAATATATCAGTTGAAGTCTTGGCGGATGAGTCAGGATCGTCTAAACTAAGTGAGCTACAGGGATCTATGTTAAATTCAGATTATATCTCCAAAAAGCACCGCCTTTTATATAAAAACTCTTGTATAATAAGTTTTGTCTATTGGTTTATGGTTTCCCACAGCGAGTAATCGGAGCACTGGGCACAAGTGTACCTTGATCGTTGGAGGGTCATTGGATTGAGGTTAGCATGTTTATGCTTGAATATCTTGTATAGGGCAAGGATTTTTCTCAGTCAAAAACAATTGTATCCCTAGCGATAACTATGCTCCTGCTTGAGGCCTTGGGCTCATTGACGATCTGCCATAGCATAGTAGTACCCTATCATGATTGCCATCATGCGATGATCTTATCTTGGATAGAGCATACAAATGTTGTTGTTATACAATGCGCTTTCATTTGTTTTTATTAATCTGATACTTGGACTTTTTTTATGACTGCATGATGGTCTGAAATTTCCAAGACGTTGCAGTCAAACATTTTAGCGCTTTTAATTGCTATAAACCCAAAAATATATACACACACACAGGCAGCTCGTAATGCTCTAATATGTATGAGTGGAAGTTGTCATAAGTTGTGCCAAATTTCATATTTGGTACTTTTGTCGAATTTCATTAGCGCCGCTCGATGTTGCCATCGTCGGTAGAGGCGCAGCAGGAGGGGGAGAGGGAGAGGGTAGCGGGGTCATTCCTCCGGATATTGGATTACAGCATGTTAATAAATGTCTTCCTCTTCCCATTGCTTTCAGGTGGCTGGCAGGCAATTTCGGCAACGAATCGATTGCAGAACTGGGAGTACAAGAATGCCCTGAAATTACTGCAAACGAAGTTCGGGATCTTTCCCTACTATCGGGTCAGTGTGGAGAACAGCTACAATGTGCCCTACGACTACGTCATAACCCTGGACGAGGGCGAGGTGGGACTGCCGGACAAGTTCTTCTACGGCCCGGACGCCGACGAGGAGGTCGTGCGCGGCTATAAGCTGCTTCTGCGTGACTTTGCCATCAATATGGGTAAGCACTCAAATAATCAGAGAATCAGAGAAGTCAAACCCTAATGCAACGTGCATCTCATTCCAGGCATTGTGTCGCGCGAGGCAGATCTGTTTGCCGATGACATCTTCCACTACGAGCGGCGCATCGTGCATCACATCGAGTCCGCCAAGGGGCGTGGCGAGCGGCAGCAGAACAAGCTCATCCGGCTGGCAGAGCTGAAGAGCATCGCGCCATCGGTAAACACTCAGCGAGTCACTGTGTTTCCCCAATTACTATCGAAAACTAGTTTCAAATTAAGTTGGAAGCGTACTAATTGATTTAGGCATAGATCGCACTTTGGCATTTCAGTTGCAGAATGTTCTCTCAACTCGCTGCGGAACGGGTTTATATAACCCGTACAGATTCGAAGCTTGCCCGTATTGATTATATATTTGTTTGCCCAGACGTAGTTCTTGTAATCTAATTGTCACATATATCCATCCATACATACATATAAGACCATATTGATTACTTCGACAGCAAGGTGAAAACATGTTCGATTCGGCCTGAAATAGATTTCTATGTCGTGGCTGAATAAATTTGCTAACAATTCATTATAATTTTATAACTTTATGTCTGTGCTGTTCGTGAGAATCTCGAATCGTTAGTCGATATTTTCTTCGTCCACTAACAATCGTAACAACCCTGTTCTAATGCCCCACTGAGCCAACACTCATCAATAGCCGGAACTACGTTCAGCAACAACTATTTTTATTTCTCTTTTTCTCTCTCTCTCTCTTTCACGGATTCAATTTTGATAGCTGCTCTGTGCAGTCCTCTACTAATACATAGCAGTGGAAGATGATCACGACAAAATTAAACCAAAATTGGGGAAACTTTGAAAACAAACTCTTTACGCATCTCGCCATAAGATCATAGAAAAGCAATAAATATGTTTATAGATATATTTTAGCTTATTTTTATCAGTTCTATTACTATTATTTTTGTACATCTGTTAAATTACATTTTGAGTCATAAGAGTTAAGTATTCAATATAATTCACAATAGTCTTCCTTGCGTATATATATATTAATAGTTAATTATATAATTTGATCTACAATACTTACTTGAACTTATTCCCATAGAAAAAGGGAAATCAGTATCTCTATTTTAACGGTTTTGTCAAAATGTACATATTTAACAGGCAGAACGTCTGGCAGACTCTATAAAGTTTATATATTCTGGATCAGAACGATATGCTGATTTAATACAGTAATGAACACATACATATGTTATAGATAAAATTGAAGTTAAGATATATTGAAGAACGCGAATCGGTCGAAATGCATATCCGACTTGAGTTTTCAAATATTCAAATATTACAAATATTCTTATGGTGTGTGGGGTTTGTTAGTCAATTTTTCGGGGAAACTCTTTCTTATTAAAGCTCAGGGCGGCCGGAGAGCAACTGTTTTGCGAAAAGGCAGAGAAGAGAAGAAGAAAAAGAGAATTTCGAAATCTATCAGTCTATTCTCTAGTGTGCCCTTTAATCAACTACTCCATGCGAATGCAGCCTTCGTTAAAGTGTGAGCCCTCATCATATCTTCGATAAGTTTGTCAGAGGAATTATGTTGCTTAGTCTTTGTGGCTGGACCCATCGCCAATTGTAGCCCAATTGTTAGAGTAAGGTATTGTTATATATAAGAGGTATGCATGAATAGCTAAGGAAAGTGAATGCGAAGCAAAATAATTTGGAGTGAGAAAGGGCGCTTGCACAAGATTCGGACGTACAACATTTAAACCAAGAGTGCGAAAGAGAGATTTCGTGTTGAATGTTTCATCGTGCGTACGGGAAAAAGAATAGCCCCATTTGGTTTTCGGTTCCGTCTTCACACATTTCATTGATTATCGTATGCTCTGAGACACAACATGTACTCATACACATTCAATTCATTATGTGCTTTGCACTCACTCAATTCAATTCAATTAAATTAGAACTCATTACATTTTACTTATGTCTTTAGTTAAGCCAAGCTGGTCCCTAATATAGAGGGATATTCTTGAGATATTTTATAATAGAGTTGAGACAGTATATTATATATCCATCAATCACTGTCACAATCTACCTTTATATATCCGTCTTAAATCTCTTGTCTTGTTATTGTCACAGCTGCCCGTTCTGGAGTCGCTGCAGGCCATCTTTCCCAACACGCGAATCAGTGAGGAGACGGAAGTGTTGGTGCCTGATGTGGAAGTGTTTCACGAGCTATCCACGCTGATCTCCACATCGGACAAGAAGTATACTTGAGATATATTATCCAAAATAGAATATGTTTATAATTGTTTTCTGTTTGCTTGCAGGCCCATTAACAACTTCATTATCTGGTCGCTGGCGCGTCAAATGTTGCCGCACCTGTCGAAGGAGTACCGCACGCTGGCGGAGCACTTTGATCATGCCATCTATGGACGCACAGCCAGTTATCCACGCTGGCTGTTTTGCAGCAAGGTGGTGCGGGATTGGGTGCCCTTTGCCGTGGACGCGCTGCAGCAGCAGCCGCCCAAGCAGCAGTTCGAGGGTGCGGGGCGCGTGCGCAGCAACGAGCCAAACGGCCTCAACAAGACGACTGGCAATGAGAAGTTCCTCCAGTTGATGTTCTACAGCTTGCGTAACCAGCTGCAGGATTCGCTGGCGCAGGCCAGCTGGCTGGAGCCGACAGCGCGACAGTTCATGCACAAGAAGCTCGCCGAGATGCGGCTGCAGTTCGGCATACCCAACGAGGTGCTCGAGCAGCCGGACTACATCAGCAACTATTACAACGATCTGCTGCTGAGCAACCTCAACTTTGTGGAGCACTTGGAGTCCATTTGGACCTTCCGCCGGTCGCGCATGGAAAACAAGCTGAAGACCTTGGGCATGCTGGATGTGTGAGTGGAGATCTAGCTTGAGTCCACGTGCTCGGATCTGGTTTAATCGAAAGGCTTTCCCTTTTCTTTTTTGTAGCATTGTGTCCGAGATGTACACGACGGATCATCCACAGCCCATTGCCTATTCGAACAAGCTGAACATGCTGCTCATATCACGCGTGCTGGTGAACAACAACTACTACGACTATCGCTATCCTGTGTAGGTATTCCGCCGTTGGTTACCTCGTTCGTCAATCAACCTCTCTCTCTCTCTCTCTTTTTCTCTCCTTCTCGCACCGCAGGGCCGTGAACTTCGCGCGCATTGGCACGGACATTCTGGAGACGCTGATCAACAATTTCCCCACCTTCCTGCTGCAGTTCAATGCCCAGAGCACGGACATAAGCGATGCCGTGCCGGAGATTGAGTACGCCAAGCCGGATATCAATTGTCTGTCCGCAGGCCAGCCGCCGCACCTGGTGCATGAGCTGCGCACGTTTTCACCGGAGGCGCTGAAGAGCTTCCATGTGACACTGAGCGCCGCTCGGACAGCCGCACGAGCGCTGAGCACCTTTGTGACGGCCATCGATGCTGGCACGGCCATACAGGGCGCCGGCATCGACCAGGCGGTCACCTACGAGGCGCTGGGCCTGACTCGGCGACTGCGTGTGCCTGGTCTGCGCTCCTTCAACGAGAACGAACTCTTCACGCTCGCATATATGCAGCAGCACTGCAGCACGACGATTGCGGACAAGGACTACGCGCGCATCAAGCCTCATGTGGAGCGGCAGCTGGCCGAGCGCTATCTGTAAGTGTAGCTGGGCGCTTGGCCTCTCATTGATCTGCTCACTAATCTCTTGCTTTCTCTTTCCCCCTATGTCTGTCTCTTTCGGTTTGATGCAGCTTCAATGCCACCTGGCAGCACATTCAATTCCTGCCGCGCTCCACGAACTGTGCCGCCTCCGAGGTCAGCTGCTCCAATCTGCTGTGAGGGCACAACTTGCCGCATGTCCCCACGGATACTGTGTGTACAATTCCTTAGCTCAGCAACGTATTTATTGTACTTTTTTTTTTATATAAACAAGCACACACACACACACACAAACATAGGCTTACATATATATATTTATGCATATACATATATATGTATATATATATACTCACAGGCGGACACACAAATCGCACTAAGCATAGTCTGTAATTAAGTTAGTTTATGTGTAATAAGTAGCCATTACTTTTAAAGACACAGCATTTGTAACACACACAAGACAAACCACTATTGACATCACACCTACATACACACACACACACCCATACACAAACACTCACACCCATTGACACTAACTGATTGTGTACTCTTCAAATTGTCGAACTAAACTTACAACTTACAAGACGATAAAGACATATTTGCATGGCTCCGATCGACGGCATATTCCATAATTCTAGAGTGTCTAATTTGTAGTACTAGTTACTAGTTAGTTGCTAAGTGCATTGACCGCAACTGTATAAATTGAATTTAATTTCCATACATTTGACAAAGTAATTAAATAATAAAACAGAATGCGAATTTTTCCAGAAATCGAACTGCCTTTCTGTGCTGCATACCTTCGGGCGAATTGAATGTGACAATTAAAAACATACTTATGGGCAGTCTAGTAGAACTATCCTATCCCAACATCATCTATGTATTGGGTGTGTTTAATTCCAATGATATGAGGCATTGTAAATAATAACTATAAAGTTTTATCTCCAGTTTGGCTTCTCTAAAAAATTTAAATATACCCTAAATCCATTGGAAATAGAAATCAAATATATAGATTTGTGAAAATGCATGTAGTAGGCAGAGGAAGGTATCGTAGACCTCATACCGTATACTATAGTCCTTTTTTATATAAAATAGATTGGCTTTGATTGTGAAATTAATTAGAATTCATAGACTTTTCCAATGGGGTTATTACGTGTACCCACCCGGTATTCTTGATCCGAGGCATTGGGTCGGTGCCATCGATGGCCGGCTACTATTGAGCCGTCCCACTATCGATGGTGCCACACTACCGATAGTGTCATCGCTAGTTGTGTGCACACATCACGCGTCGCTTCGATTGCTAACTTTTATTCATCATTTAAAACCTTTAAGGGTAAATTACTTGTGGATTTCGACAACATCCGTGGGATAGGAGCGAGTATTCAGCGGGGCAAACGTCTAGGACTCCAAGACATGGGTGAAGGAGAAATTTGATCTATATGACGTCCAGTAAAAATTAAAGCTTAAAATGTATAATTTAAAAAAAATTGTAATTACAGTTGTTTCATATTGGGGACTATTGACTCACTATCGACGCCTTGTCTATACTCGAATTCGAATTTCATAGCGCTTTATTTAGGCTTGGTATATAATGGCTATGTGTCTGATATGTGCTTTAAAAGCCAAACTTCTATGAAAATTTACAAGATAATTGAACTTAGTGGCACTCGGAATTATTAATCTTAGTCTCAGTCTCATCTTAATGGTGAGCAGGAGCAACACCTAAAGCAATGGAGGTCATGTCACAGGATGACGGTGTCATCTGTGTAGGTTAGCAGAATGATTCCATTCTCAATTCTTGTGTTAAATTTAGACGTAGCTATGTACGAAAATACGATGTTGAGTCAAGGACACTGTACTTAGAGACTGCAGCTCCTACTGTAGCAGCTGAGGATGACGCCTGTTCCTTGGACAATTGGTAGGTCCCATTAATCAAATACGAAACAATTCCCTTATTTCTACTAGACAGCCGATCAAACGATCAGACGATCAAACCCCTGCTGAATATCCAGGAACACTGCAAAGAAGTACATCATTTCCTAAAAAGCGTTGAGGATGTGGATTACGCAATGACATTCCTAACTATATGTTTATATTCATAAAGAAGAGTTAAGCTTTCGACTATCCACAAATATGTCTCAAATGATATGTGCATAAGCATATAGCTTCCCACTGTCTACTGTCCTAATTTGGATTCCATATTGTCTTTTGAGCATAAGATTCGCCTCGGCTAAGACTTCAATTCACAATGTTCGTATCTAGGCAAAACTTATTTAGATCGAATGAATAGTTCTTTATAGACGGTTTACCAATTCCACATAGAAGGAAGAGTCTAGTCTTTTTTCCGAATGCATTAAATAGTTAGCGAAAAGTTTTGGGTCATTTAGGTTTTATGATTTTTGCAGTTGCTTTATTTGAGATGAGGCACAAACTGAAATGATGATATATATATATATATAGATGTACATAGTCATGTACATTTGATGCACGTACAATTTGATGGCTGCTCGATTACGAAGTTGTGTTAACTGATCCATCGGCAGCTGAATTAAAGTTAAGCCGGAAGCTGAGACCATTAATTGGTCTGATTGTTGGTTGTGCGCGTCTCCTTATCCACGAAGTCCTTGATGAAGCCGGCGATGCTGCGATGCAGCTCGGCGTCAATATTTCGAGTCATTTCCTCAACCAGATTGCTGCTAATGCTGCGTGGATGAGATGTTAGATAAGAAAGAGCGAGAGAGAGAGAGAGAGAGAGGATGTATTTACTTGGAGTACAATGTCCAGGGAGTCAGGCAATTGGCATTGCCGTAGAAGCTGCTGTTCTGGCATTGGTTTTGGAACTGGCGACGCTGCTCCCGTGTGTCGGCCAAGTCATTGTCCAGTTCCTGGATGGTCCCCTCGGTGCCAGAGGGACGTGGCGTAGCATCAGTGTCCTCCTCAAAGTCGCTGTTGAGCTGTAAGATAAATTCCTGGCCTTCATCCAGGATGTGGTCTGAGCTGTAGTCTGTTTCTTGGCTGGCGACTAGGGTCTCCTCTTCGCTCCTCTGAGGCAGCTCGGCCAGTTCCAAGTCCAGGTCCAGCTCCATGTCGGCGTTCAAGTGCACTGGCTGCGGGTGCTGTTGTCGGTGCTGCCGCTTGGGTGTCCACATGGTGTCATCTTGAGTTTGATGCTTGATTTGCTTGGCCTTCTTCAGCATGCGCTTGGTCACCTGCTGCTCTGCGCGCTTATGCTCGGCTATGCGCTGCTGGGCACGCCACTCGCTGACCTGCTGCTTCTGCCGGTCGAGCTCGGCACGCTCGTCCAGAGCCTGACGCTGGCGCTCGTTCGGCTCGGGCATCATTTCGGGAATGTCGCCACGCTGCAGCTCCGAATCGATGAAGTCCAGCACATGCTTCTCATCCTTGAGCTCCTCCTCGAGCGTCTTGGACAGGAAGAACTTGCCGTTGGGCGAGCGCAGTATCTTGACCTCCTTGTAGCGCAAGTCGTCCGGCTGCAGCTGCTGATGCAGTCGCTGGCGCTCCTTCAGATAGCGATGTCCCTCCCAGAAGCGCTCGCAGTACGGCGAATTTCCCGGTGTCAAGGCCAGCGGTCTGCGCCAGGGAAGGAGAGAGCAGAGAAAGGAGAAGGGTTTAACACTCGAATTGACGCTAATAAATCAAACCCGAAGTCGAAGTCCCAAAATAATACGCCGCTTGCCATTTCGATGATTAGCACGACGCAAAAGCCGGCTAATTGCATCAGCTTGGCACGCTGCTGACGTCACGGTCGCACAGCCCAACGGACTGCTCCATCGGATATCATATGGGCTGTCGACACGCAATTCCTCCCCCCTGAGAGCAGCTGCTCACTTGTCCCACCCAACCCAGAGCTCAAGGCCAATGTCAGAAAATAACAAAGCGTCATCGATACCCTAACTAAAAGGGGTCGACAGACTTAACTGGATCATCTATGCTATAGATAGATATGGATATAGACATATATGTAGATCATACATTGTGTAGATAGATATCGAAATTGATATGAATATAGATTGACTAGTGAAATATCTCTACACTGTAGATAATAGATAATTCTATACACGAAATATAACTGCCAGTACTTCAAGGTAAATTTCCCACTATTCATGTATATAAATATATATTGTATTAGGAATAAGTCTCAACTATATATGAAAACAAGTAAGAAGGCTCCAGTCGAGACTGCTCGACTAGGAGATACCCTGAACCCTCTAAGCTGATATTATAATCATTCTGCACTTCTTTTATGCACATGCATAAGCCCGTGCTCTGCTAACTGCGCAGTAAGCAGCGACTGCGCTTGGGCTGCGCTGCAGTGTGGGCAATATTATGAGAATTTCTTTGTTGAATAATTTCTTTTGTAGACATACGATCTTAATGAACGTAATCATATGGTGAATATGTGTGTACATTCCAAAGCAAAAGTCTCTAGTACTTGAAATGCGTTTTTTGTAAATTGGGGGGAAAGGGGGCGTGGTATCCAAAATCTGTAAATGACAAAATCTTTGTATCGATTGTCTTTATATACAACGCAAATTTGAAGACTCCAGGTCTAAAAGTGTTCAAATTAGGCTAAAAAAACAAAATCAATTTTTCGATTATTCTCGATAAAAAAGTTATCGGACGATTTATCGAAAAAATAAAGCAAACTCGTACTGCGTATGGTACACACGAGTATGCATGCCAAATTTCAGCTCTCTGCTCTTATAACTTCTGAGATCGACGCACTCATACGGACGGACGGACGGACAGACGGACAGGGCTATATCGACTCAGCTCATCGCGCTGATCAAGAATATATATACTTTGTGGGGTCTGCCACGCCTCCTTCTGCCCGTTACATACTTTTTCACAAAACCATTATACCCTGATCTCCCATTTTCAATGGGTTCAGGGTATAATTATTCTAGCTTAAATTCCTTTAAACTCTTATCGTTAATGCCCAGAATCTATGGGTTGGCAAATCATATGATCTATTACACATGCATATGATTGATGGAATGCTAAAAATCTGCACTATATAAGCTTGAACTAGAGCTAATCAGACTTTAAGCTTAAATTCTTTAGAAAACGAGAAATACATCTTACAATTTAGTGTTTAACTAGAGTATATATTATATTATATTATATTATATTATATTATTATATAGTAGAATCCGACTAGTGGATTCGTTATACCCGGAAGATTCTATAGCCATATTGATATACTCATATGGGTTTGTCTACGGACCAGCATTTGCGTCGCAATATCCGTACGGCCGCTATAAGCGTCATAAGGCGTTATTGCCGGATTCTACTGCATATATTAGAAGTGAATAAGATGTGTTGAGGATAGTCGATCAGTGCCAGGGATAGGCCAAGTTTTGTATGGAGATATACAGATATGGAGATAGGTTCATACATATGTATATGCTTAGGCCCAATTGGAATTGCAGCTTCAAATCTATCTTCAGCTAGGCATCATTATTTCAGCAAACAACTTTGGGTTAGTGTATTTGATGGCGCATCCACTTGGGTCTGGGTCTGGGTCTGGGTCACTGAGGTTAAAGCTTGCCATGCTAATGGCAAACGAATTCCCCTACCTGCGCTTCTCTACCTGTCAGCTCGCCAACTGCACGCAAATAATATGACACAATCAGGCTGAAGCGCTGGAGCGTCGTCGAAGAGTTCATTAATAAGCGGCGACGGGGCTAACCCGGGCACGGTCGTTACGCTTGGGGCGCGCTGATTGCAGGGGAGCAAATTTATTGATCAAACAAATAAAACGCAGCAGCACCAGCAGCAGCAGCAGCAGCAGCAGCGATATTAGCGCACCCCACGCCCAAGTCGAAGTAGTTTGCGTTATCGATAGATTCTAAAGGGCAAAGCAAAGGCGCAGCAGTCCGACTGGACTGCGGCTGGCAGCAACCGAGTGTTACAGTGAATGGCGCTACATTTGGGTATTATTAGTTGTTAGGAATTTGTTTTGCAAATTTTATCTTGAAGAAACAGCAAATGTGGCAAAAAAGAGAAAAAAAAGCAGAAGCCGGCGCGAATTTCAATTGCAAACAGTTGTCGATTGGAGGTCGTCGTATTTAGTTACGAGAGAATTTCTCATATCAGCCGAACTCGACGTCAAAATAAAGAAAAACAGTTGGCCAACACCTTGACAGGGGAGGGGTTGCGGATGGAGGGGCTAGCCCAGGTCTTGTAGTTGACAAAGAGAGCGCGAGCGGGGCCCTAGCTTCGGCTAGGCTGACTAGAGGAATGCGCTACGCGACTACAGAACCCAGAAGCCTGCATATCAAACTAGAAATTGTGGCAAATAATACCAAAACTCGGTTGTTTTTTCAGTTTCTAGGAACGATATGGATTTCAGTGCGTTTGTTGTTGTTTGCGCATAAAATCCCCGCTGAATGTGCTGAGACACCTATTCTGTTTTTTGTGTTTTTTTTTTTTTTTTTTTTTTTTGTTTTTTTTTTTTTATGAATGACAAATGGTCGGCAGCAAAAGTTTCAGTGTCTGCAGATAAGGCATAAACAAACCAGGAAACGTCGTAAATTAAGAGAATCAAAGTTTCATATTTCTGCCCGAAGCCGAAGGAAAGACAGAAAGAGAGAGAGAAAGAGAGAGAGAGGTAGAGAAAGATATAGGGAGAGAAAGAGAGAAAGATAGATGAAAAAAAAAATATATATAGAGAGAGCAAGGTATAAGAGCCTAAGAAATTTGATGAAGTGGAGCAATCGGAATTCTCAACTTGAAGAGTTTCTATAAATCAATTTGTTATTGACTTAAATATATTATATAAAATTAAATAAGCAAAGGGGGAGATAGAGAGAGTGAGTGAGAAGGAGGGAGGGAGGGGTGATAGAATAGGTAAAATGCTAATACAATTAGATACGATTGTTGCCTATATATACGAGGGATAAAGTTATTCCAATATAAAATTAAATAAGCCGATAGAGTGAAAAAGAAAAAAAAAGAAAGAAAAAGAAAGGGAGGAGAGTGAGTGAGATAGAGGCAGAGACAATAGATACTATTATAATACTACTGGATATGATAACAGATTCATATGAGCGGTTAAGGTGATTTGATATAAAATTAAGTAATCAAAATGTTGGAGAGAGAAAGAGAGAGAAAGTAAGCTAGAAAGAAAGAGACAAGGAAAGCAAGAGGCATTATAAAAGAGAAAAGCTAAGGTTTTATCATTATTATGAATATTATTTGAAACCTAATTAGCATAGAATTAGAAAGAAAAAGAGAGAGAGCCAGACAAATTGAGAAAGCCAGACAAAGAGAGAGAGAAAGAGGTGTGAAAAATAAATAAGGTACTAATATAACTATATATGTTTGCAGATTGTGTGGGGATCGAGTGAGTTGATATAAAATTCAATAAGCAGTTGGAGGAAGTGGGAAGCAAATAGATATAGAAATATGTGTAGAGATATACAGATATATTGAAGTAGAAAGAGAGAAAGAGATAGAGAAACACAAAGATCGAGGTAGTATAAATTACTACAAATGAATACCATAGCACTTCATGTAGATGGGAAAATGTTATCCAAAGTCTTACGATTTTTCGTTTATCAGCATAAATGTTTTTTGTGTTCTACTGGCCCCCATTAAGTATATGTTTACATATGCATTCACATATGTATGTATATCTATGTATATAGTATATAGTGTATATCTGCATTATAAACATTGTTGAGTCATATGAAGCTGTTGCTCTCTATCTACCCATCTACCAGGTCCAACAGTTTGTTTAGCTTTCAGGTTTAAGGTTACACAAAGTCTCTCAAGCACATATATATATATATATATATATATATATATATATATAGATGTAGATATAGAGTATGTGTATGTCTATATGTGCTCATATATAAATGGGTCTTTAGTCTGCTATTGATAAGTTTCCGCTTCGATATAGGGGTCAAGTCGCTAGATAATGTCGGAGCTGTCAGCTTCGATTGATCCAGTCAGGTGATCCGCTAACCAACAGCGCCTAGGAGACACGCCATGTGTGTGTGTGTGTAGTCAGGTAGGTAGCACTTGGTAGTAAATACTTCTAATCGTAAACTGGGGGCGACAAACAAAAATGAAAACAATAATAAAAACAAAACAAACGAAAACAAAAATCTTTGCATGCCAACAGCAGCAGCAGCAGCAGTGGCGGCAGCGGCAGAGGCAGAGGAGACGGCAGTGGAGTTGCCGCTGGGTGAGTAACTCGAAAGCAGCGCCAGCGATGGCGTCAGCTGCGCATTGCCAGCAGAGGCTGAGGTGAGGCGCGAGCAGAGTCAGAAAAAAAAAACAAACTGAAACTGGCAATGGCAATGGCAAAGCCAAAACGCTGGAGAGCGCGCAGCTGACGCTCTCTGAGCACGACGACGACGACGACGATGATGACATCATTGGCCGACGACGGCGACGACGACGCCGCCTGCGCTGTTTCAGCCACATGGGCCAAGTGGGCATACATATACATATATATATATATGTATATACACACACACACATGTATATGCACGTCCATTTGTGTGTTTGTGTGTGTGTGTTTTTGCATACTCACAGCATCTGGAGGGTGAGACGCATGGCGTCTGTGGAGGGATCGCCGGCAATGCTGATCTCGCTGCGCAAGGCATTGACGATCTCCTGGTCCTGGGGCTCGCTGCGCGACAGCAGATCGAGCAGGGCCTGCCGCTTCCCGGGTGCCAGCATTTGGGGATTCTGGGTGAGCGGGACGACGTCATCCGGCACTACAGCATGGCCGCCGGTCGCGTTCAGGTGGGCGGTGCTGTTAGGGGCAACGTATTCGCTGGGTCGCGGCGTTCGGCTCAGATCCTGGCCCCGGGCGCTGCCGAGCGGCGTCACTGTAGGCACCGGCGGCGGATGCTCCATTTGACGGCGCACGGTCCTAGCCGGCGCTGGCTTGCGTCGTCGTGGCGGCGGCGCCACCGTGTCCTGCTCGATGCGCGTCAGCAGCAGCTCCAGCTGATCGTGCGCCGCCTGCATCGGCCGCGGCCTGGGCGTGTCCTGGCGGCATCTCTGGTTGCCGCTGCCTCCAGAGTTGCCGCCGCCGCCGCCGCCGCGACGCGTCAGTGTTGTCATTGTCGTCTGCGTCATGGTTATCGTCGACGTCGCCCCGGGACAGCTGCGTCCAAATGCCACACGCGACGTCGCTGGCGGCGGCGTCACTGGCGGCCGCTGCACATCCCGCTGCATCTCCCTGGCGGATGTGCAGCGAGTGTGCTTCTTGGCTCTGCCATTGCTCTTGTTGTTGTTGTTGTTGTTGTTGTTGGTCTGGCGACTTGGCGGCACAACGGCAATGCTCGTGCTATTTATCCAGTTCTTGCTCGGAGCTGAGCTTTGCTTGGAGGCAGCAGCCGGCGCCTTGCTGCGGCTGCTCAGCTGACTGCCAGCTGGACGCTCCTGTTGTCCAGCAGCTTTGCGGCGCTGCTGCTGCGGCGATTGCTGCTGCTGTTGCTGTTGTTGTTGCGGTGACGGCTGCTGCTGTTGCTGCTGTTGCTGCTGCTGCTGCTGCTGTGCATAGACCACAGCATGGTTGCGGCGCTTGCGCGCGCTCATCTCTGTCGGGCTCTTAGAGTTCATTTGTTGCTGTCGACGTCGCTGCCGCTGCTACTGCTGCTGTTCGCTGTTGCTGCTAGCTTCACTGCTCGCTGCGTTTCGGTTTCAGTTTCAGTTTCTTGGTCGACGCTCGCCGGTTCGGTACGTTCGCTTCGCTCTCGGTTTGGTTCGGTTCGCGGTTAGCCACGGTTCTCGGTTTCTTTCGGTTTTTCGGACGCTTCACTTAAAAAATTCTCAACTGAAATTTGTACGAAAAAAAATGTAATTGTAACGAATTTATTAATATTAATTTTTGTATGCTTGTTGGCCGTTCTCAATATTCATTTCGTCTGACAAGTTTCACTCTAAGCATGTGTGCCTGTGTTTTCTATTTGTTTGTGTGCGTGTGTGTCATTTTGTCATTTGAGTGTTGAGCTGCTGCTGCTGCTGCTGCTTCTTCTTCCTCATCATGTCGGCAGCTTCAACCCAATCACTCTCTGTCAAGAGCTTAGCTGGCCCTGCCTGCAGTGATGCCTCCACTATCAAAGCCGATGACAATCGATTGTTTAGCTCATACATACACGTATATACGTATATGTATGTCGAACATGTTATTCAAGTTCCATTTCCTTGTGCAACTTCCCAGCACTTGCCTTGACTAGCATATCATATCATAGCATGCGAGCGAGCTACGATAAGCTGGCTTTGTCATTTCATTCATTTCTTTTGAGTTATGATTTGACAGCTAACATAAATTATCTGCCGAAAGCCATATACAAAAATTCTTATATATTTTTTTCATTTTTGTTCAAGTTTTCCATTTCTATACCAAATCCTATACCAATTCCAAAACCAAAACCAAACCAAAGCCGGGCAGGAGCAACAGATTCAAAATGGTAAGTGAACATCTAACCCAGATCTAGCTCACATCAGCATCAGTCCCGCCTCATCTCATTAACCATCAGCCCGCACAGCAATCTCTGCCCATTAGATGAAAGTTTCAGCTGGTTCGCCCAAGCAGCCGCCCAGCTGGCTAACAGCTAAGTGAGCCGTGTGCCGTTTGCCGTGGGGCGTGTGGGCGGCTGCCCTGACGCAAACAGGTTGCCGACGCGCCGCGACGTTGCGTATACGCCGCATCGGCCACGTCCGAAAGCATTTTCTTTTGCTGCCGTGCTGTGTGAAGTGTCGACTCCAAAGTTGGTGTTAGATTCATAGCGAGTGGAATTTTGATGTGTTACAAGCCAGAGACGAAAACAGCAACCAAATTCTCACACTGAAGTCGTTTTTGTTTGTTCGATTTTTTGGTAAATACCCTGTAATTGTTGAAAGAGAATTATATGTAAATATTCTATCTGCTGTTTTCACAGAGATAACAGGTGTGAATCTATTGACAATATGAATAGAGAATAACTATGGCAAGAATTTCATTTGTGCATGTATTAATGATATGAATTGAGAATAACTATGGCAAGAATTTGCATTTGATATCGATAAATATCGATCTTACAGCACTAGTGGCCTATTACTCTAAGAATTAAGACTACGTCCACTGCACATATCTCTTATACAGGGTATCCAGCAGTCGCTTACTCACGTCTAGCACGCCCTTACTCATTTATTACTGCTTCTTCTAGCCCAACTCACGCGCCGCACAAAGCGCGTCTCCATATGGGCTGACTTGCCTTATTGGTACTTTGGATAATTATCATACTAAAAATAACAAAAAATAAAAAATAAAAAATCTACAAAAAAAAACTAAAAGAAACCCAAGCACAAACTCATCAATTTGAAAAAAAAAAAAAAAAAACTATTCATAAAAAAATATTTGTAAATATTTAACAACGTGCTTGTGCGCCTCCTCCAGTTAACGTCTTGTTTTAGTGGGCGAACATGAAACTTTCCAAAAAAAGAAGAAGGGAAAACAACAAGAAAAACAACAACGAAAATTGTAATCCCAGCGACACTTGAAGCTGATCACGCGAAAGCCGTTGATCCATATACATATGTTATACATTTCGACCAGAGCTGAGAGCTTGAGGCTGGGAGCTGAGTGCAACGCCCACGGATCTGCTGGGAAAAGCAAAAGTGTCGCTGACGGCCAACAGGCAGACTGCGATCTAACGGTGATCAGTTCCCAAAGACCAGCTCGCAAAACCAGCCGAATTCTCTGCGCGAAACTCAGCTCTGACATCATTCTCAAGCGTCGACATTCCAAGGCTAAATTTGGCAGCCAATTGATCTGAATGATTTATATTTCATTTATTTTCTCATCTACTTTTCTCTTTTTTCTTGTTTGTAACAAAATTATGTTTCAACTTAAGTATAGAAATTTTAGAAATATATACATATATATATATATTTCTGTAAATTGGTTAGATGCAATGGAAAGTAAAGAAAAATTCTTTAGTATTTTTCAAATGTTATGTATGGTATGAGACTTAATTAAGGTCTGATGAGTTCAAAGAGGTACATAGCATTATTATGTACATGAATCACAAAAAACATCAATCAATAGAATAGAATAGAATAGAATATAGTTGGGATTATTGGATATCCACCAGGCAGGAATACAGGATTTTAAACTGAAATATATATTAATAATATATACTTATACATTTCTCGAGCACCTCAAGTGTAAGATTTACTTTTAACCGATCACACTACATCAAATGCAGACTTAAACGAACCCACCAAGTCCTTCAACTAATCTTTCTTAAGCCTCAACTCCCTTCAACTCATCTTCCTTTCGACTCATCGTTCTCTCGACACACCTTTCATTCAACTCACCTTATTTCAACTCATCTTTCTTTCAACTCATCTGGATTCTCAGCCTACACTAGTAGTTACATTGTATCAGCTACTCATACATACTTAGACTTACAGTTTTTTAACCAAACGAATCTATTTAAATTCAAGTTTTGAGCTTGAAAATGAATTGCTATTAACTTGCGCACTTAGATTTTTAGTCCGTTTAGGGAATCTATTTATATCAGAGTTTAGATTTGAAGACTTTAAGGTCTGTTACGGAATCTATTTGTATAAATCAAAGTATACTATATATTATATATATATTAATTTATACAAATAGATATTTAAAATTACCTCTGTACATAAAATAGAATGAGGAATTGGAAATTCAATTGAAAGTGTTAAATTAGTTTTAATACTCACTCATGAAAATGAAATGACTATATTTATTTTCATTTTGATTTGAGACATATATGTACTCGTGCATATGTCGAATTATAAAATGTTAAAATTTTATTACATAGTATAATTTTATTAAGGTATCTCAGAAACCATAGTAGTTGAAGTTCAAATTTAACGAGTGGGTATTGTGCAGTCGAAAATAAAATTAATATCGATTTGTAATTCTAAATTAAAGAATTTAAAGAATTACATAGTCAACTGCAAATGCGGCAAATTATTTTGATGAATGCAAAAATATAAATTTATAAATTCTGTTTAAATATCGCATTTCAAATTCAAATTGTTTAACACTTGAGCAAAAAATTACAAATGCTGCAAAGTGATTTGAGTAGACTAATTGAGATAAGTCAAATAATTGCCGTTTGATTATTTTACGACTGTCATTAATGGGCCTTAAACTGAATTTGTGTGGACCAGTCTATTGGGCCATAAAGAAGAGATGAATCGACTTATGGACTGTGTGCTCTATAGCTGGATCAGACAGTACAGAAATAATGCGCCATGTCGATCCATACATGTATACAGGCGTAGCATATGTAGTCGGGTTTTTGTGTGTCAGGGTCAATGACCAGTGTTAAGTGATCTGCTAAGATCTTGAGCAGCTCGACAGTGCCACCCACCCCAGCCGCCCGAGCCGCGCCCCGGCGTGGCTCAAATGCCAATTACTTATACGCAATGTTGGCCGAAAGCAATAATTTGTATGGCTAAACATAGCGCCTCGTTGATTGACAGCATTGATTGATGGCCTCTGGGCAATAACAGCAGCAGCAGCAGCTATAACAATATTACAATTAGAGAGCGAGCGAGAAAGAGGGAAACAAGGAGAGTGGGAGAGAGTGTGCGTGTGTGTATGCGTGCTTTGTGAATCATGCGCGCAATATTTTAATTATCGCATTTGAATAAGCAAACTATAAAATATAAATTCAACAAAAATTGAAATAAATTGTTTTCACTTACTGCGCTTTGTTTGGCTTTTCAAGGGAAAACTTCGCCGGCTAAATTGTTTACGCTTGTTTACTTTATTATTTATTGTTGTGGCTGTTGCTATTGCTTTTGCTGCTGTTGTTGTTGTTGCTCTTATTGCTTCTGTTCATTTGGCTACCTAGGCGGCTCTCACTCTGATTGCGCCAATTAGCTGATAACAGCTCAAAACCCAATCAATGCAAAACAGCGACACATTGCACACAGGTGTAAAAGGTGAGCCGCAGAAACACTCTGAAACTGAATCAAAAATGTATCACTCACATATAAAAATTCTTTTAGTTCGAACGACTCTCTAAATAGCATCAAAAATAAGTTGATGTTATATATTAATTTTATTGAATAAAAAGGTATTTAACAATATTTAGACTAACATGTTTTTATTTAATTAAATAAAAAAGTTTAAGTAACACGTGATATATGCACTTGGAGTAATTTTAAAAAGATTTTGTTTTTCCTTTTTTTAATTTTAATTAAAATGTGTACATTTTTTTCTTCGCAAGCCTTGCTGCGCATTACTTCCTAAAGTTTTAACAAATACTATCTAAACTAAAACAAAATATTTCGAAAAGATAATATATATAAATGAATATGTATATATATATTTATGTAATATGTGTATTACTACTTCGCTTATAGAGAATAATCTGTGTATCTAATGAAATTTTAAATGCACATTTATATGAAATACTTTTTAGACTTTGGACTAATTCGATTAAATATTTCACTATTCTTACACATATTGTGCGTAATATAATTTTTTTACCATATATTTTTACTATCAACTTATAAGTTGGGTAACATATTATATATTTTCTATTTTGTTTAATTTTTTTAATTAATTAACAGCATTAACATTAACAACAATAACAGCAATAAGCTCGAATATTTGGTAGCATTATTTCGGGTAGCAATATTATATAGGAAATTAATTTTATGTCGATTCTAAGACATTGTTAGGGTATTAGAGCGCGACTCAATTTGGCATACGCATTGACTTATCGTGCGGGACTTATTAGAACTAACCTCTAATTATATACAACATACATACATATGTATGTATGTGTATTAATATATAAGCTATCCATAATCTGCATAGATTGCAGATAATCTATCCACTTTGTAACAAATCATTGCAATTTAACATTTCTACCGAAGCATTCCCATCGTACAGAGCATTAACAGTGCGTCATCGTTGAGTTTGCTGTTTACTTTTTACTTTCATTTGTTTTTGTTTGCTGGCCAATGGACGCCAAAATGTTTCGTTAAGTTGTGCGCTGCTTCTGGTTTGTTTGCCTCCGACTTGCTGCTGTTCATGTTGTTGTTGTCGTTGTTGTTACTGTTTTCTTTTATGGTAGGGCACTCTTAGTATGTGGAGTGTGTGTGCGCGAATGCGGCTCTCGCGCTCGCCCTCGCTCTTCTTCTACCTCTACCTCTTCCTCTTTACTCTCTTTCGCTCTCACTGCGTGTCGATTTGCGTTCATTTGTTTAATTCAATTCTAACTCTAGCGATGATCTAAGTGAGACGTCGCCGCCTTCATTATTACTGTTGTTGTTGCTGTTGCTACATCTGGCGCAAACTTTAAATAAGCAAGTAAAACAACAACTGCAACAACAACAACAACAGCAACTGGCAGCGCTAGTCAGGCAGCAAAAGTGCTGGCAATTGCTAGCCGAAAAATTAATGTGCATTTAATTCGGACAAATTAAATTCGGTGAGCGGCGACGTCGACGTCGACGTCGACTTCCCTGCCAGCAACATGCACGCACGGATGCACGCACACACACACAAGCAAGCTCATGTGTAAATAGAACAGCAACAGGCATAACGGTGAGCGCGTTTACCCCTCTCTCTCTCTCTCACGCTTTCTGTCAGCTGAAAGTGCAGCGTGTAAATTGGCCAAATTTACGAGCTGCTGCCATTTTTCATTTTTATGGGCAACGATTTTCATTATATGCGCGCGCTTGACGTTTACCGTTTGCCATTTACCGTTTACCACTTGGTTAGTGGCTTGCGTTATGTGGTGACGTCGCCTTGCTGTTTGCGTTTTGTTCTTGTTGCCTTTGCATAACCGTTATCAGCGACAATCAGTTGACGCCTGTAGCGACACCTCGCAATGGTTTGCAACTCGGCTAACGAGCCTCGACGCCATGTGTGCTTAGCCATGACACACCACCGTGGGTGGCCCAAGCGGTTAGTGGGCGATTCCACTCAATATGGTGGTCAACCATGGAAAACCGACGAAACGTCCATTACGTGCCTGCGAAACGATGATAAATCCAGATAGTATCGAATTAGTAATGCCAGCCATACGCAATATACCTGAAATTATACTTATAAGTATATATAGATAGTCATCTATTATAGCCTAGGTCTAGCATTTGCCATGAAATTTATTGCAATTGCGTTCCAAACATCTCGCTAAGTGCTACAATCTGTCCGCATCAATCTCTCTGAACCGAGTGTAAAGTTCAAGGCGAATACATTTAAAAAGCCGAAACTTCTTGATTTGATCATTTCTCATTTGGAATTTTATAGGAACATTTCATGAATTGAATTAAGTGAATGGCATTAAATCAGCTGATTTCAGGTTTAATCTTGGCCATAAAATATGTTTTAACTAATTGAATTGATTGCAATGTTAGTATGCATTTATCACTCAGAGTATGAAATTTCGGGAATTGAAAGCGATTTTATGGCAAACAGTGAATTGAAATTAATCAATATTAAATTTTTAATTTTTGCATAATTTTTCTTTATTTATTGAATGATTTAAACATGTTTTTTGTACCTGAAAAGAGAATTTTAGATTGGTTGATTTATTATACGCTTGTTTCTATGATTTCAATTCAATTCATTTTGCTGGTATCTGAATAGAGCCTTGAAACTGGGCACATATTCTCAGCATATTATATAAACTGTTTGGATTTTCTCAATGGACCAGATTTTACAATTTACAAACTCTGCTCTATTTTACATTAATCTAGAAATTTTTAACATAGATAAGCTTGCACATATTATGCTTATAGAGGGCGTGGCAAATAGCTGGGAACCACTGTTGACCTCCTCTATGACATAAAAAAAAAATGTCAACTTCTTTTGGAGCATGAATAATCGAAAATGAGTGGTATCTCTTACGGCTTCCTCAGCTTGCGTTACTGTCGACTCCTCCTCTTCCACGCCCTTGTGTGACGTGTCAAATCAGAAAATACTATTTGGAGCTAGAATCTCAAAATTTGCTAGATTAACTTAATTTGAAGATTTGCTAGAAGTAATTTCAACATTTCGAGCTGAGAACGAGTATTGCCCGATTGCACTATTCTCACTTGTTTTACTGTAGATTCAAATCTAGTATATGAAAATACTAGATTTCCTGTTATGAGCGTGTTTTTGTTGATGTTATAAATACTATACTATAGTTTTTTAAATGTATAAATTACACAAATAATTATAAGACTTGATTACCTTTGATGTTTAATTAATGAACAGAAAATGTCGAAGCTTCCATTTGCTCATCTATTTAACATCATATATACACACACATACATATATGTATCTCGATTATATATGTATGTATATGTATACATATGTACTGGATAAACACAATTATGGCCATATAATAAGCATATGCAATCAAAATACTAAAGCGCTGATGCTCATCATTTGATTGTTATTGTTATTGTTATTGTTATTAAAACAAAAACAGAAAAGTGTTTTGTGGTCAGCGCTGTGAGTTACTCAAATTCAATGTTTTTGTTGTTGTTGCGGTTTATGAACTCAAGGCATAATATCATGCCCCTTTGGGGAATGTACACATAAGTGCATATATATTATATAGTCTATAAGCCCATTCATTCTCTCACATTTAGTCATCCACTCATTCCACTCACTTTGTTCTTACAATCTGAACTGGGAAAAATGAAATTATGAAATATTTGAACGAATTGCCAACGTGATTTTCATTTTAATTAAGTGCAAGTTGTATTATTATCTGAATATTCACGCAGTCGGACTCGGAGTCGATCTGTCACAAGTGCAATGAGGTCATACAGCAGCGCATCATTACGGCTCTGGGCAAGACCTGGCATCCGGAGCACTTCGCCTGCAAGGACTGCCAAAAGCCCATCACCGAGGCCACCTTCAACATACAGAACGGAGAGCCGGTGTGCTCCGACTGCTTCGTGAGCAACTACTCGGGCACCTGTTTCGGCTGCAAGAAGCCCATCCTGGAGGTAAGCAAGCACCCATCCACCCGCTTCCCACTTATATACATATATATGTATGTATGTATGTACCGTGATCAACCTATAGGCAACACCATTGACATCATCGCCTTCGTCTGTTAGCCATAAACCCGGGCTCTTTATGAATACTGTCAACATTTGTTCATCTAGTCTATAAAGCTTTTTGTAATGCATACGAAACCTGATTATATTTTAGTCGTCATGTGTGCAGATGCAGATGCGTCTAGCTATGGGTGTACATGCCTCCTATATACTACTCAGTGCACGATAGCTCTTTATACATACAGATCGCACAGCCAGTTTATCCAGCTCTTTGGGTACGGCATAATCACAGAGACAGCGACAGACACAAAGGCAGGTACACAGATCAGAAGTCAAATATCAAACAGATGTAGACTCACATATAAATACACTTTAGCACATCATTAGCTCACAGTATAAAAACTATTTTAGCTCACAATATCAAATTATTTATTCGAGTATATTTGACGACAAATAAGATTTCGTTTGTTCTTCACCGCAAATAATAAATATATGCGAGTTTTGAATAGTCAATCAGTTGGTTACATTATGTAGAATTTTAGGTATGCCTCTAAAGCATTTAACTGGAGAGCGGTATGATTGGGAGATCCATCCGGAGGGAACTATTGACATGTAATTCAAATATTTCATGATATAAGAATATATGCATATCATATCAGCACACGATTGGAATATTCGATGCGGCCGTATAGAGGATGCAGCTGCTCAAATATAGAGCTCGTATTTGACAGATATATATACAAGCATATACTATATGTATATTTTATATCGCGCATAGGACTATTGCCCCTGAATGTATGCAATAGATTTTCTCCGTCAGCTTTGATATAACTAATGCGCCTAGTTGGAGGTACTCAACCAGACTTTGCCTAAGCACGGTAAAAGTTTAAAAAGAAGCACTAATACAGTTTTTTTTTTGTGTATAAACATTGAAAAATGATAATAAAATAAGAAATAATATAAAAAATCATTTTAAAAAATGTATTAAAAAAATATGCAATTTTTAAAATTTGTTTTCTATGTTTTTGTTTTCTTTTTATATATTTTATTTATTTAATTTTGCTTTTACACATTTAAAAAATTGTATTTTTACTTCAGTTTTTCTATTGCCATTGCAGTTTTGATTTTTAACATTTTATTTTATTTTATTTTTTTTTTTTTGTAATTTGTTCAATATCGACATTTTACATAAATTTTGTTTTGCTTATTAGTAGTAGAAAGAACTACACAGTAAAAAATTTAATTTCTAGAATACATATTTCATTTTATATTTTATTCATTTATTTTTATTTTTATATTATTTTTTCAATTTCTTATTATTTACTTGTATTTTTGTTTTTAATTTTACTATTACTTTATTCATTCCTTTTTTATGTATTTTTATTTTTATTTTTTTAATTTCTGTATTGAAAATATTGCCTTAATTATATTAGTTGGCTAAATTACAATTGTGTGATTTTCTAATGCTACTATTAGCCAACCGTTAAAGTGCATTAAGAATGCGACACTGGCTGCCAAAACTATTCGTTCCGCTAAATTAGCGCCATCAAGGCCACTCGAGTGGGGGCTGAGCATGAGCGATTGATTGGCTATGATTATGCATATTATGTATAGTGTGTATTAGTGAAATATTTATATCTATATACATACATATATAGTCTAATTTTGATTGTAGATTTGCTGATTTTGAAATAATAATAGTAAAAATACGTTTATCGCTTGTTGACAGCGCACCATCAAGGCCATGGAGCAGTCGTGGCACGAGGAGTGCTTCGTGTGCGCCGGTCCATGCCAGAAGCCATTGGTGGGCACCTCGTTCTATGAGCGGGACGGCCGGCCCTACTGCCGCATCGACTTCGAGCAGCTGTTCGCGGCGCGCTGTGCCGGCTGCAGCCAGCCGATAACCGAGAATGCGATTGTGGCGCTCAATGCCAAGTGGCATCGGGATTGCTTCAAGTGCAAGGTGAGTGCAGCACAATGGACTCAATGCCGGCAAATGTGTACTATCTCTCTCCCTCTCTCATCTCGATTGCAGAAGTGCCTGAAGCCCATTACAGCGAGCACGTTCGCCGTGGAGGACAACAAGCCGCTGTGCACGGCCTGCTCGGACTAGGAGGTGGCCCAGCGGGGGGCCGGGTGGGCCAGGAGGCATTACATTAATAGATGTTTCGCTGTATATTATAGATGTTTATGGTATTTGTAGTATTCACAGTTGTTGAACAAAAAGTTAAAACCTAACGAAATTCCTTAGAATTTACTATGAAGAAATTCAAAGGTCCAAATGCTAACAAAGGGTATAAAAAGCGCTAAGCCACTCTTCCACACACACACACATACACATGCACTCGCCACTTGGTAGAGCTACTCCAGCAAATGCTTTTTGCTGAGATAAAGATATATTGTACATATATCTTTCTCAAATATTTTTTTTTATTATTTATAAATTGCATTTGACACGATAAATGCATTTAGAGAAGAACAGCTGCCAGAACTGTCAAGAGTTCGTCACGGCTCTCGAGAAGTGTGGGCGGGGGAGTAACGGTATATATTTATATTAAAGAAAAACATATAATTGTGTTTACATAGTTGCTAAAATACACACACATACACAAGTGAACATTTGATTAGCTCACAGAATGTTGCTGTAACACTCTATCTCTATCTATCTTTCTCTCTCACACACTGTTTATATTATATATTATATTCTAACGCGCGCTCTCTCTCTCGCTCTATTTTCCATCTCACATGTTATCTCTTTCTAAAATTGTATTATTATACTGAAGCTATTATATTATATGAAAAGAAATACATGACAATTAATCTTGCAGCACAGCATTTACTTTCTATTGCCCTCTCTTTCTACAGAACTATTGCTCTCTCTCTCTTTCTTAATTGTGTTATGAGATTTAGCTAGCGTATTATCCATTATTGCTAATGAGAAATGATTTATAAGAGTTGAATGCATTTGTTTTGACTAAAGGCTAAATTTGTTATACAGGCGTCCGATAGATCCTAGTACAGCCAACAATCGGCCATCTGAAAATCCCTGGCATAATATATATAAATTAAATATTCGAAAGCGGTTTTTGTATTAAAAAAACATTTATTTACTTTCGGAGCTGGATTAGAACTGACTTAAGAATAATTATACAAGTAATATTTATATGAAAGCTGCCGCTGCTGCTATTGGCGTCGCTGCCGCCGTGGTCACTGCTGTTGCTGCTGAATAGGTGTCTTGTGACACGATGGCTCTCACGGTGGTTGCTGATCGGTGCGCTGACTCGGCGCTCGTGGCGGAAATGCGCACGTTGACCAGAATGTGTTTTGGCCAAGTGCATTGATCTTATTAATATTGCTGACGATAGGCTCCCACGGTTGCGGTTGCGTTGCTGTTGTATTCTGCTGACAAAGCGCACGTGTCAAAAGTGCATGCACTGGAGCCGTGATATAATTGGGCCGGTGCAATGCCCTTTTGTAGGGTCTGTCGTTAACTCTTCCCCCCTTAGATGCGGACGTCCTCGGTCGCAATATAGAAAACTTGAGCATTTTCTCTCTTTTCTGGCCTGTGGTGGCTGGGGTCTTTCGTCTTAGCAAATATCCAACTACGGCCATAATTATCAGTAGAGTTCCAGAGAGAGTTATATTGATTGTTGCTCTTATATCGTTGATGCTCTTTAGGGTTTCTAATTTTCTTGTGTTGTTTATTTCCTTGAGCATTTGCAGTGAAAGGACTTCGTCGATCTTGTTTGTTTTCGCCATGATTTGAAATAGCGGTGGGGTGGCTTCTGCGAAGGACATTACTTTTGATTCGTATATGTCATCTTCGATGCGTATCGTGGAGTTTTCGAATTGTACCAGGAAGGTACCATGGAGTTCTACTTCCTCTTCGTCGATCTTGATTGATCCATTGAAATCGTTGAGCAATATTGTTCCGACAAACAGCTGTTCGTGGTTGGGTACGTGTTGATTGTTGATAGCACGGCAGTTTGGAGGTTGGCTTTTTAATAGTGGCAGAGTACAAGTATCATTTCTTAAGTCGACTAACTTATTTTTATTACAAATTGTTTTTTCATTATGCGACTCACATGAGTCTCTTATAGCATAGATTGAATTTTCGCATTTTACAATATTTTCGAATTTTATTTCATTGATATCATTTTTTCTTTTAATTGGCTTAATTAACATGGGTGTACAAACTTCATTTGAGATTAAAGGTATGTTGATTATATAGAGTATATTTTTTCCATTACTTGCGATTTTTATTTGGCTAAATTCTAACAATTCTTCTGCATTTAAGAACATGATTTTTTCTCTTTCTAGTATCTGCTCTATTATTTTGACTTCGGATTCTGACAATATTATTGAGTTTATTGTATTTGTTTTTGCCCAGTCTATGGCATGAATTAAATTAGTTTAATCGTCTTTAAAGATTTGGAGCTTGTATTTAAGAAACGTGATTTTTTCCTCTTGAATATTAGAATGATTTTTTACAATTTTCATTATGTTATTTGAGGTTTGTGTTATTTCATTGATTCTATCTTGCAATACTCTATTGATAACTACTTGTTTATTATTATTTTCTAATTGCTCATTAATTTTTGTAATTAGAACCTCGTGGTCACTATGGTCCGGTGTACCGGCCAGCCATTTCCATGTTGTTCCCAATGCATTAATTGCTCTTGCCACTCTTATGGAGGGTTTGAGTCTGCGCAAGTCATTTCTGACGCTATTTATTTCATAATTTAGCAGTGGGTACATCTGGTGTGAGGTGCTTATATTGTTAAGGTTTTCTTCGAAAGTTCCGAAGATTTTTTCATATTCTGAAATGTCAAATACGTGAATAATTTTGAAAGTTCCGTTCTGCATTGCCGAAGTTCCTGTCTTTATCGGAATTAACTGAGAGTGTGAGTAGTCGAGGATTGTGGTTATACCCAGACATAGCGGTGCGAATATCCTGTAAATTACGTTCGAATGTTATTTTTGTGGATAATTTTCCCTGAAGCTGTTCTAATGGTTGAATTCCTGTTTTCTGCTACAGTTTCTTTCTTGTATTTGGGTGTGAGTTTTGAACCTAGGCGCTTGTTTATTTTTACATAGACTATCTCCCCTGGTTCGTAAGTTTTAATTTCCTGTCTCTCTTTATTGTGGTAATTTAAATCATATTTTTGTTTATCTAGTAGCTTGTTGGATATTATCTTCCTATTCTCTTCTGTTTTTTCTGGGTTATCCTGAACTGTTGTGCCGAAAAATATCTCTATTGGTTTTTTTTTAGTAACTGAATGGTAGGAGGCGTTATATTCTTGTACTGCTTTAAAGAGTGTATCTGTGAAACTCATATCTTTATTGTCTTTTCTTAGGCAAGTCATTATTTCTGAAAGAGTGGAGTGGAATCTCTCTATTTGTCCGTTACTTGTTGAGTTATATGGAGGGGTTGTATAAACTTCGATACCTAGCTGGTCTTGCAACAAAAACTTTATGGAGGCTGAATTTAAAGCTCGTTCGTTATCGATTACTACAGTTTTGGGCATACCGAATGCAATTAGTATTTCTCTTAACAGGATTTTTATATCTTCTGCTGCTCTTGAGTTTAGAATCTTGACTTGAACGTATTTTGAGAATTTATCAATGCTAGTTAAAATAGTTTTATTTTTTGTTATATTAATATCTATATGAATGATTTCGCCTGGAAATTTGGGAATTGGTGTTGCTTGAATTGCGGGATGTGGAGGGTGTCTATCATATTTTGACTCTCTGCATGTTAAGCATGCTTTTGTAATTTCCTTAACTTTTTTGTGGAGTTGTGGGAAGAAAAATTTTTCTAGAATTTGGGCTTGATTTTCTGATGCATTTCTGTGTGCTCGTCTATATTCTTGCGTTATAATTTTATTCTGTTCATCGACGCTTGTAATGTCATCTACCTTTCTTTGGGTATATCGTATTTTATAATTTGAAAAGTGAAGTGGATAGAATTCCTGTATTTTGCCCATAATATGTTCTGGAGTAAATAAGCCGTTAAAAAGTCTTGGGTCAAGTCGTTTCTTGAAAATATCGATTAATTCGTCTTCGGTAAAGTGGGGTTGTGTTACTGTATGCCTATGGTATGTAGGGAAGGGAATTTCGAATTTATAATCATGCTTTTCGCCGATTATTATGAATAACTGATTCTTGAAAACGTTAATAGGTGTTTCTATTGTAGGGATGAGATTGTGTGACGAACTTTCATCACTCATAACTGTGGTTTCTGTACTATTGATTTCGTTTATTGGGTTTCTTGATAAAGCGTCTGCTACTATGTTAGTGGTTCCTGGCTTGTACTTTAACTCGTAATTGAACTCTTCTAAGTAACTCTTCCAACGTTTCAATTTTCCGTTGTGATTTTTATTACTCAGAGCAAAGGTTATTGGTTGGTGGTCTGTGAATATAATAACTTTGGCAGTTCCAAAGTAGTAAATTCGAAGGTTTTGCAATGCCCAAACTATGGCTAGCATTTCCTTTTCATTAGTTGCATAGTTCTCCTCTGTTTTTGACAATGTTCGTGATATAAAAGTAATGGGTCTACCTTCCTGTTCAAGGACTGCACCGATTGCGTAGTTTGAAGCATCGGTTGTTAGATGGAATTCTTTAGAGAAGTTTGGATAATTTAGGATTACGTCATTAGAACAAAGAGTTTGTTTTATTTTGTTAAATGCTTCTATTGCCTTGTTATCTAACTTTATCTGTACTTTATCTGATGCTTTTGCTGATATACGACCATCTTCACCTCTTAGATGAGTGGTAAGAGGCTTAGCTAATTTTGCATAATCTTTTATGAATCTGCGGTAATAGCCGGAGAGGCCTAAGAACGATCGTAGTTCTTTAAGAGTTTTGGGTATGGGGAATCTAGAAATCGCTTCAACCTTTTCTGGATTTGTCTTAACGCCACTGTCTGAAATGGTGAATCCTAGGAAATTCACTTCCTTTCTGAAAAATTCACATTTGTCCATTTGGACTTTCATATTAGCGTTAAGTAAAGTCGTGAAGACTTGTTTTAGGTGATGAGCATGTTCGTTTTCAGTTTTGCTGAAAACAATGATGTCATCAATGTAGACATAGCATATTTTTCCAACATGATCCTTTAGAATATTATCTAAGGCTCTTTGGAATATTGAAGGGGAATTCTTGAGACCAAAAGGTAGTCTTGTAAATTCGTACTTCCCTCCGTTGACAGAAAATGCTGTCTTTTCTATGTCTGTCTCCTTCAAAGGAATTTGGTGGAAACCACTTTTGAGGTCGAGGACCGTGAAGAATTTATTGTCCCCTAAGTGGGCTATGATGTCCCCTATTTCTGGCATAGGGTATCGGTCGGAGATTGTGACCAAATTTAGCTTGCGATAATCGATTACTAGTCGGTATTTCTTTTTTCCTGAGGCATCAGATTTTTTTGGTACGATCCATACTGGAGCGTTATACGGTGATCTGGGTCTAATGACTCCGTCGTCAAGCATTTCTGATATCTGCTTTTCGACTTCTTGCTTTAGAGCAATAGGATATGGGTAATGCCTGCTGTAAACTGGGGTATCGGTATTGGTTCGGATCTCTCCTACTACTTTAGTCGTGTAAGTTAATTTTTGCTCCGAGTCTGCAAATAACGGTTTAGTTTCATAAATAAGTCGATCTATTATCTTTTTCTGGTTATCGGTCATATGACTTGTTCGGACCTTTATATTGTTAACTGCTTGTGCGGGTAATTGCTTAATACGGAATTTATTACTGCCATTTACTATAAGGATATCATTCCTGACATCGATAACAACATTGAGTTGTTTCATTGTATCGTTGCCTAGAATGCCATGAAAAGTTTTTAGAGTGGGCAATACGAAAAATCTGATTGGGGTTTTGAGGTTAAATAGATTCAAAAAGATATGATGGGTTATGGCTATTTTTCCACCTATAGAATTAGCGAAAAAAGCTTCTTTGTTTTCTTTTGCGTTGTTTACTAGGGAAGACTGTATGTAATTCTGGTTGGAACCAGTATCAATGAGGAAGTTTAATACCTGTCCGTCCCTCGTTTTGCATAACGTAACGAGGAACGATTTAAGCTAAAAAATTGACATCAGACATATCAGCAATTTCTACCTGAGTCTGGTTGTCTGTAGTTGCTTCGTTCTCGTATGGTGCTTCGACGATACCTTGCTCCTCTGTAGCAGCATAGTAGGCCTGTTCACTCATGCATTGCTCGTATGCCTCGGCATAAGCTTCGGCGGCGTATGCATTCGCATATGCATCTGCGTAAGCGTTAGCCTCATCATCTACTTGGGTTTCCCCAGTATTGATATGAAATTGTCTCTGATGCTTGAATGGGTTTTCTGCCCTAGAAGATAAGGGTCTTTTCCCAACAAATTGACTATTATTTGGCCTATTCATATAATTCACGTTCCTAGTTCTGATAGAAGAGTCGACTTCCATTGGTTGTGGAGCCGGTTGTGGCTTTGGGGCTATTGGTCTTGGCGGTGCGTTAAAGAATTGTTGTTGTTGTTGTTGTTGGTATATGGGTCTTGGTGGGAAAACTGGATTCTGGGGGTTAAACTTAGGCTTTGGTGGATAGTACAGGTTCGGATTGAAGTTGGTTTGATTTAAGACGTGTGGATTGTTGTATCGAAACGGGGATTGAGTAGGTTTGTTTTGATAATTGTTCTTCGGAGGAAGCGAGGGGGCTCTAATGGGACTAACAGAATTTCTAATCGACTGGTTCTCAATCAGTCGGCACAAGTGAAGGGCATGTTTAAGGTCGGTTGGCTCTTTGATGGCTAATAATCTTGATAAGTCTCCGTTGAGACCTCTGATAAATGTATCTAAAGCTTTGTCTCTATATATATCGGTAATGGCCCTTACTGTTTCTGCAGATGAATCATGGTTGTTTATCTGATTCAAGATTAAAGACAGATGATAATAAACGGCTTGATAAAATTCGTCTATTGATCGTCCATTTTGCTTAAGAGTATAGAGTTGGTACTCTAATGTCTTAAGATCTCTACGGTCTGCAAAATGATCAGTGAGACATTGAGATATGGCCTTCCAATTTAGTGGTGTGTTATATGCTTCTAATACAGCATCGGCTTCGCCAACTACTTTGCTTCTTACTACCATTAAGATACCATAGTGCTTTGGTGTTCCCTGTACGGTAGAGTATGCCTCGAATATCCTGTCTACGCTTTTGCGCCATGAAGTGAATTCTGCTCTATTCCCGGAAAAGTCTTTTAAAACCCTTACAACGTCTGGCAACTTGTCTAACTCGTTGATTCGTCCCATATGTTCTGGTAGAATCGTCTGATCTTGCTCAACTGAAACGGTTGTACCTGTTTTAAGTAACTCATCGCCTTTCTCGGACAATATCTTCCTAAGGTATCTCTCTATCGTATTCTCAATTGGTTCAGTCAGAAAGGTTTGCCTTGTGGCACCTGTGCTGGTGGACGGGAGTGTATTTTCTGGTGGTGGCATGTTTATCTTAGAGAATGCGGTCGTTAGTTCGTCAATGGTCACGGACAGATTTAAAGAATTTTTATCGAAGCGGAAAATGATGGTGGTTTGTTTTCAGAAAATGTTCTCAGGATTTTGATTTTGTGTTAGTAAATGGTAAATTCCTAAGCGATCAACGCAGTGATCTTCCTGGCTATTATTGTATAGTTTTACGGGCTATACGCTATACCGAGCAACGCAATTATCGCTCAGTAGTACAATTTCAGAGTTTTTCTTAATTATTAAGTGTTAATGTTTAATATTTCTTGTTATTTCTTCTTAATTACTAGGTGTTAATATTTGTTGTTTAATTCTTGTTTTTCTTTTCTTAATTACTAATATTTCGTGTTTTGTTTTAATTCTTTTCTTTTTTTAATTTCTTTACTTTTGTTTTCAAATCTTATTGCCTATGCTTACAAGATAATTTTCAACATTGTTGACTCCCGCGATGGTGGTCCGGATTTCTCTCTTTCCTCAGATTCCAGTGCTAGTGGTTTATCCGTTACTGAAGATCCTGCGACGCACTCCGATTACGCGGTACCCTACGGACGGACACTTATAGGGTGGCAACAATGGTTTTTTTGACTGGCGAACGTACCACGTTTACGTAGTTAGAGTCACTCGTTCACGATGTGGCTGCGGATTAGGCACTAATATTAACGTTCGAATGCTCCGGTTTCAGTAGCTGCGGATTAGGCACTAAAGATTTTCGTCGCGTTCACTAGCAGCTATATTTCGTTATAGGTGCTCTCGCGAACAATAGTTGGTACTATGTTTTTCGACGCGTAAACTTTTCTGTGGTAACGAACGCGGGTCCCTGCTCGGGCGCCAATTAAATATTCGAAAGCGGTTTTTGTATTAAAAAAACATTTATTTACTTTCGGAGTTGGATTAGAACTGACTTAAGAATAATTATACAAGTAATATTTATATGAATGCTGCCGCTGCTGCTATTGGCGTCGCTGCCGCCGTGGTCACTGCTGTTGCTGCTGAATAGGTGTCTTGTGACACGATGGCTCTCACGGTGGTTGCTGATCGGTGCGCTGACTCGGCGCTCGTGGCGGAAATGCGCACGTTGACCAGAATGTGTTTTGGCCAAGTGCATTGATCTTATTAATATTGCTGACGATAGGCTCCCACGGTTGCGGTTGCGTTGCTGTTGTATTCTGCTGACAAAGCGCACGTGTCAAAAGTGCATGCACTGGAGCCGTGATATAATTGGGCCGGTGCAATGCCCTTTTGTAGGGTCTGTCGTTAACTTATATAATAATGAGTTTGACAACTATTTAAAAAACAAGTAAGAAAGCTCTAGTCGAGACTGCTCGACTACGAGATCCCCTGAACCCTTGGAGCAATAGATATTTCAATACTTTTTCGCGACTTTCAGCTTACACAAGAAAACACGCACACACACACACACACACACGCACGTACGCACACACAGGTATACATACACACACACGCATACAGACACACATACACACACACACACGCATACAGACACAAACGCATACACACACACACATACACACACACACATACACATACAAGCAACCACGCATAAACACGCATGGGCTGCAGTGTGCGCTTACTATGAGAACTTAATTGTTTAATAACTTTTTTTATGGACGTACGATCTTCATGAAACTTTTAGATAATGATTATAACATGAATATGCATGTACTTGCCAAAGCACAAGTCTCTAGTATTTGAAATACGCTTTTTACAAAAGTGAGGGTGAGGGGGTGAATTTAGAGGTGGGGGGTAAATTTTAACAAAAACCGAAATTGTATAAATTGCATATAAGCATACATTAAAAATTTGGAGACTCTAGCAATAAAGGTGTAGAAGATATAATTTTATAACTGGGTTTCGATAAGGTTTTTTATCGATAAAAAAGATCGGGATGAGTTATCGATTTTTAATGATAAACTTGATATGCGCGCTGTAATAACGAACATTTTAAAAAAAATTTGAAGTCTCTATCTCTTATATCTTCTGAAATCGACGCGTTCATACATACGGACAGACGGACAGACGGACAGACGGACAGACGGACAGACAGACGGACAGGGCCAAATCAACTCAGCTCGTCACCCTGATCAAGAATATATATACTTTGTGGGGTCTGCCACGCCTCCTTCTCCCTGTTACATACATTTCAACAAAACCATTATACCCTGATTTCCCATTGAAAATGGGTTCAGGGTATAAAAATATATATAACTTGAACCCATTGAAAATGGGAAATCAGGGTATAATGGTTTTGTGAAAAAGTATGTAACGGGCAGAAGGAGGCGTGGCAGACCCCATAAAGTATATATATTCTTGATCAGCGCGACGAGCTGAGTTGATATAGCCCTGTCCGTCTGTCCGTCCGTCCGTCCGTCCGTCCGTATGAGTGCGTCGATCTCAGAAGTTATAAGAGCTAGAGAGCTGAAATTTGGCATGCATACTCGTGTGTACCATACGCAGTACGAGTTTGCTTTATTTTTTCGATAATTCATCCGATAACTTTTTTATCGAGAACAATCGAAAAATCGGAATTGTTTTTTCAGCCTAATTTGAACATTTTTAGACCTGGAGTCTTCAAATTTGCGTTGTATATAAAGTTAATCGATACAAAGATTTTGTAATTTACAGATTTTGCATACCACGCCCCCTTTCCCCCAATTTGTAAAAAAAGCATTTCAAGTACTAGCAGTACTAGTACTGCTTTGGAATGTACACACATATTCATCATATGATTACACTCTGAAAGTTTCATTAAGATCTTATGTCTACAAAAGAAATTATTCAACAAATAAATTCTCATAATATTGCCCACACTGCACTATGGGGAAAAATCCAAATTATCGGGTATTAATTAATAACTTAAAAACTAAGCCAGATTTTTTGATCCGGTTTTTGTATTATTAATATGTATACCATCAGAAATATATTTTAGAAAAATGGGCGTGTCACCGCCCACCCAAAAAAAATTTATTAAAATTTTGTATTAAATTTTTTTTTTTTTTTAAGAATTTTGCTTGTTCATACTTTAAAATAATAATTTTAATTGAAAACAATCGAACTTTCATAAAATCGAAATTAGTTTTCTTCAGTTTCGAGTTCCAAATCAGCCAGAAATATTGATCCGCTAAAAAAATTCGGGTTCTTCAACTGATTTAATTGTGCCTTCAACTTTACATAATACAATACGTACAACTTCATTAGACAGCGACCTTTATGCTTTCAAACTCTTTTCTAAAGATTTGCCGAAGAAATAATCTGATCAGATGTATCCATTGTTAAAAACCATCAGCGAAATTATGGATTCTGCTCTCATGCTCTCATGCATGATGAAATTAGTCTGATTTATAGACCTGGTTGGGCAAATCAGACGCTTCCTTACCAAAAAAGCCTACAGGATGAACAGTACTTTCCATAATCTGCCTCAAATGAACAATTATTTTTATAAACATTTGCTGTCATAGGCAGTCATTCATAGTTGTCAGCTAGTTTTTGTTCCTGCTGCATTTCTTCCATTTGTAATTTATATTTTGGCAAAAAAAGCGGCTTTTGCTTTTTTAATATCATTTATAAGTTGAATCAATATTAGTCTTATTTAGTTTCAAAATCACAATTACTATTTCTTGGTTAGAGTTGCCTTTTTCATTGAGCCAAATATCACACAGGTCAGCTCATAGTCACCTGCTAAAAATTGATTTGCGCCGGTTGTGCGCAAAAGTGCACATTGAGACAAAGGCACTAAGATCCCAATTGATTACTCTATAACATGCAATTGGAATTACACTGGTGCGCCCTGGTGGCTGTTTTATATGTCTTTGCAAAGTTTAATTTTATTTACAAGAAATGAAATTTGACAACATTTGCTAATTATACAATAAATGATTAAAATAAGTTCAAACATCAATTGGTTTTTAAGCCAACGCATAGTAGAAGCCCTAAAAATTCATATCCTTTTTAAATTTCTCAAAAATAATGTCTGGTCATTGAATAACGATGATTTGAAAATCGGCTAACACAAATTGTAAGCTGAAGGCAAATGCTTTTCGAAGATAACAGCTGACTTTAACAGCTGTTAGGCTTAACAGTGGACTGTTATTCAACATTTTGGGTACAGTACCTTAAAGTTTGGAGTTTTATTAAGATGTTAACATAAAAAAATTATAAATTTTCATACTTCGCAAAAATGACTAAATACCCGAAAAACGGCAAAATTCCCCATAGTGCACTGCAGCGCAGCCCAAGCGCAGTCGCTGCTTACTGCGCAGTTAGCAGAGCGCAGGCTTATGCGTGCGTGTGGATGCATGTGTATGTATGTGTGCATAAAAATGCAAAATGATTAGAATATCAGCTTAGAGGGTTCAGGGTATCTCCTAGTCGAGCAGTCTCGACTAGAGCCTTCTTACTTGTTATTCGAACAGTTGGAGTTTATCTTATTAAAAGTATTACAGCAATGTTAGAGCCGTGGCTTATAACTCGATTAGAACTAAAATTACAATTGTTTGTTGGCTTATTATATGGTGGGCGTTGGAGAGCTTTTGAGCTTTTAGTGGTGAGCTTTTGATCGGACGATATGTATAAGTGAATCTGATTGGTTATTGACAATATGCTGAATAGGCGATCTCACGCTTTTCGGCAGTTAAGGATAAAATTGCTGATCAGGCGTTCTCACGCTTGGGGCTAGTGGCTGTTGGTTACACGTGCAGTGCTTATGCAAGTGTTATGCTACTTGCGGATATAGGGTGAATGAGCCCGTTTATGTGAAATATGAGTTTATGAGAAAGGGGGCAAGTGTTTGTTGCTAAGTGAAGCGCTTGTCGCTTATTTATTACGTTATGTGAGGAGGTCGATATATTACTCCCCCATCCTTAAGAAAATAGCCTGTCCTCAGGCGGATATTTTTGGGTATAGTGAAGGGCTTTGCTCGATCACTGGATTTGGGATTTCTAAATCGGGTTTTTTTTGTGTTATTAACATTAATAATTAATTTTTGTGGTACAATTTTAAGCTTATAGATTAAGTACAATGTTATGCTTAAAATAATAATGACAAAAGTAATTATAGTAATAGTTTGGAATACACTGTTATATTTTGTATGTTGGTTAATAATTTCTTTTGTTTGTAGGTAAGATATGGGTTCTAATTTTGTAATATTGTTTGTTACATAGATGCTTTGTGAATTGTCAAAGTATGAATTCTTAATAGATATTTCATTTAACTGTAATGAACAATCGTAATTTTTTATTATATTATTTCCTTCTATTGTTAATTCATTGTTTACGCAATCTTGATTTAGTTTAGTTTTTGGTAAATTCCAAGTTACAATAATATTTGGTTCTATGTATGTGATTTGATAATTTTTGAAAGTTTTTGTGTATTTGCATGAGGTCGTTACTTGTTTTAAAATGCCTATTATACATTCATTTGTTTCTAATTGCTTGGTATTTTTATTGTATACATTTTCGTTTTCAAAATAATATTTATCATGTGAGTTCTCTGTTAAGATGTTCTTCTCGGGATCTGGATACGGAAGTATCTCAAAGATTGGGGTTTTGATAATTTCTCTTGGGATATGTGATATTATTAAAATTTCATTTGTATCTGTTTTAAGCCAAGTAGAAGTTTTAGTGTTCAATAATTTTTCCGAATCTACATGTTTTAAATAATTGTGTTTGAGTAATTTTGGATTGAATATACCTAATCTGGTGAGTTGCATTCCCATTTCTATATCTTCGATATATTCTGTGAAATGTTCGAGATTAAAAATTAATAGTTCTAATTTGATAGATTTTTCTTTTTCGGAGACGATTGAATTTACTGCTTCTAATCCTTTATTAAATTCTAATTGTCTATTATAATAGTTTAATGGTCTTTCTG